GGCGTTGTTCATAGACACCTCCAAGGTCATGTGGCCAGCATGAGCGCATGGAGCGCCGTTAAGAACATATGAAATGCTGTATGAGGCCAAAGACCTGCTCTCTCAATGGCCAGTCAGAACCTCGTGGAAACCCCAGAAATAGGACTCTTGTTCTCTCTCTTATTTTTCTTTTGAGGATTTCAAAATACTAAAAGCACAAGAAAGTATATTTATTTCTAACCAAGGCAATTTAAAATCTGTTAAAATAATTAAAATACTACCACCCTTCCATTCACATTCCTCATCAACTTGTATATAGAGCCGCACTACCTTTACTGGTAGTATCTTGCCAACCTTAAAAACTCTGGCATAGACACTGAGAACTGGGAAGCCCTGGCCCTTGAGTGCTCCAGCTGGAGGTCAGCTGTGACCAGCAGTGCTGCAGAATTTGAAGAGGCATGAATGGAGGGCAAAGAGAGAAACATGCCAAGAGGAAGGCACATCAAGCCAACCCCGACCGTGACCGCTTTTCACCTGGAAACCAATACCCTCACTGCAGGAGAAGATGCAGATCAATAATAGGGCTTCACAGTCACCTACGGACCCACCAGAACACTGATCTTGGAAGACTATCCTACTCGGCCAACGAAGGATCGCCTTAGTAAGTAAGTACTGGTAGTATGGCTCCATATACAAGTTGGAGTATACCTTGAAAATAAATGACTGCCCAGCATTTAGATTATGGGGTGACTGAACAAAAGGATCTCAATCTCCTTAGGTTTGGTGATATTTGCTTTATGTAATAATAATAATAATAATAATAATAATAATAATAATAATAATAATAATCTTTATTTATACCCCACCACCATCTCCCCCAACGGGGACTTGGGGCAGCTTACATGAGGCCAAGCCCAAACAACAAATTACAATGAAATAAAATACAATAAAAGAAAAAGCAAAAAGCAAACTACAACATAGTAAAATGCGAAAACAATAAGCAATATACACTGTTTTTCAATGTACTGTTTTTCAAGTTTGTGGAGTCCACAATTAAGCTAATATTGTGGATAATTCCAAGAGATTTCATTGCAGTTTTTACTACTCCTCATTTCCTCCATCCTGAATTAGATCACTGGTTTTTATTAAGTGGTCAGACCTGTTCAGTCTTTCCTTGAAGAAAGTTGGGGTTGGATACTTGATTTTTCTCACAATACTTTGAAGAAGGTTAAACAGAGAGAACCATCTTACCAGTTTCATGGATGAAGAGAGATTTACGTTTAGTTATGTCAGACCCAGTCTGGCAATTTGCAGCAGACTTTCAATTACTGTGTCCATACCTCCTTCACCTAAACTGTGCAAGCGAGTTCTTTTTGGTCCTCCCCTGAAAGTCTAAAATGTTAATGCAAGAAATATGTTTTGAGGAAAGAGTTTATTATAGAGATACAAATGGGACAAGAAGCAAAATATTGCATTGTTGGGGGGCGGGGGAGGGGGGCTGATGTCTATTCTAATTCCTCATCTGCATTTTCAATTTTCACTGGGCCAACAGACATTCAGTAAATGGCAACAGACATTCATGATTAGTCCTCCACATAGGGCTGTTTCTGGTTCCCCCTCTCTCTCTGTTCTAAAAAAGCACTTCATTCCAATATAGCAGTGCTTCCCAATCTGTGTTCCATGGACCACCAGTGGTCTGCAAGAACTAAAATATGGTCTGCAGCCTCACCTTACTTACTTTAAGGTTGGCTTTGAGCCCATCTTTAAATCTCCTTTCCTGCCCACCAATATCCCGTTTTCCGTTCGTGAGTTCAGAGTAGAGCAACTGCTTTTGGAGACGGTGATTGGGTATTCGGACAATGTGGCAGGTCCAGCGGAGTTGATGGCGGAGGGCCATCACTTCAGTGCTGGTGGTCTTTGCTTCTTCCAGCATGCTGACATTTGTCCGTCTGTCTTCCCAAGAGATTTGCAGGATTTTTCGGAGGCAGCGCTGATGGAATTGTTCTAGCATGTGACGTCTGTAGATAGTCTACGTTTCACAACATATATGGGAGGACAATAGCTTTATAAACAAGCACCTTGGCATCCCTACGGATGTCCTGGTCCTCAAACACTCTGTGCTTCATGCAGAAAAATGCTGTACTCGCAGAGCTCAGGTGGTGTTGTATTTCAGTGTCGATGCTGTGGAGAGGTGGCTGCCAAGGTAGTGGAAATGGTCAACATTTACTAATGTTACACCATTCAGCTGTATTTCTGGCATTGGAGAGGGATTGGCTGGTGACTAAAGAACTGAAGAAGGGTTGGCTGGTGAGCGATTGGAGATAGAGAGGGATTGGAGAGTGATTGGCTGGTAACTGCAAGAACTAAAATATAGTCTGCAGTCTCACCATTACTACACTGTTGCAACGAGAGAGACTGGTCTTGTGGAAAAAAGTTGGAAGAAAGGTGGGATAAAAAGAAAGGAAGGTAGGTAGGTAGGTAGGTAGGTAGGTAAATAGGTGTGGAAAATTAAAATATCTCAACATCTGAGTGTTCAGCCACGTTAACTCCAACGAACATCACTCTAGGCAGCATCATTTCTTTCCCCTATTGGTTGATGGATCCTCATTTGTAAAATCATCTTCACCCTCTGACATCATTGATTAATGCTTAATTCTAAACATATTTAGAGGTAGTGCGTTTCAACAGTAAGCATGTTTTGCTAATATTATGTATTAGACTTGGGTTTAAAGGTCCACGGAGGCATGAAAGCAACTGGGAAGCCTTGGATTGTGGAGCCAGCCCTATCAATAGGCAGTTGGAACCATCTCAGAGGGTAGCTTCTATGCTCCTTCTGATTTCAAAGACCAACACTGCTGAATTATTCATATATAGTGAAAGACACTATCAAATGATTGCTGTAATCAGATTAAATTACCTGTCTCGTTAGCTTCTGTGTATGGAATCAATAGGTGGGAACACTATCTTTTTCATAGCTTTATGTAACAAGGTATTTTGAGCACTTGTTTAGCCTAACTCACTTTTCACCATTGTTGTACGTGTTAGATGCATTTTAGGAGAATCACCAAAAATGGATTATATATCTGGTGCAAAATGTATGCATGTGGCATAACAATGAGCCAAAAATAATTGTATATATGGTCTCTCTAAAGTGAGTTGTAAGAATCACCTTTGGGATCATTAGAGCAGCTCCTTGAAGTAGATTAGTAGGAGCAGCCAATGAATCGGCTTCTTTGAGGATGTGCAAAATCCATGCTTGATTTTATTGCTTTTCTCACTGGAGCTGCCTTGAGTTGAACAAGAGCTCTATGAGTGTTGGACTTAATTCTATACTGGCAGAACTCCTGTTCAACTTGGAGCAGATGCAGGAGGAGAGTCCAGTAACATGATGGCAGGATCCCTTACCTTGCTCTTCTGAGTAGCAGTATCTTCATGCTGCAATTGGTGATACACTAAGTCAGTGTGACATGGTTAAAATAAAATCTGACCTAGTGTCTTCTGAGTTTTGCATCTTATATATGGAAGACATTCGCTATCCAGTTATATGATCTCCGGCCAGAAACATAACCTATTGATTCCAGCGGGAGCAGAATTTGGCTATCCTAATTTTGGGATCAAGGCATTTAAGAGAGCCAGTATGATGTAGTGGTTTGAATATTGGACTACAACTCTGGAGGCCAGTGTTTGAATGTGCACTTGGCCAAAAAAAATCTTTGTTTGATTTTGGGAAAATTAAACTCTCTCATCTTAAGAGGAAGTAAAAGGGAAACCTCTGCTAAAAAAATATTGCCAAGCAAATGTCATGTTCACTTGAGGGTCACCATAAGTCAGAAACATCTTGAAGATGCACAACAATCAAAAAAGCAATGTTTCCAAGCTTTAATGGAATTTATGGAATGGAACCTATTCCAAAGTAGTTTCTCATGACTTTTCAACTTGTTCCACTGCATCATTCAGTCTCTTTTATATGTGACCCTAACTCCAAAAATGACATGCTGGTAGTGCTGACTGCAGCATTTTTGAGGCCCTGGGTCATGGCCTCATAATCTAAAAAGGGCCATCACACAAACTGAAAATACTCTTAGACCAGCGTTTCTCAACCTGGGGGTTGGGACCCCTGGGGGGAGTCACGAGGGGGTTTCAGAGGGGTTGCCACATATATTTCTGATGGTCTTAGGAACCCCATTTGGCAGAGAAGGTTGAAGATCATTCCACTTGTCCTTCTCTTCCTTTTTGGAAACAGATGGTGAATCCTCCTACCAAAAGCCCTGCTCCTGCTGTGTTTGCAGGTGAACTATATATCCCATCAATTACAACTTCCAAATGTCAAGGTCTATTTTCCCAAACTCCATCAGTGTTCACATAAGGGCATATTGCGTATTCATGCCAAGTTTAGTCCAGATCCATCATTGTTTGAGTCCACAGTGCTCTCTTGATGTAGGTGAACTACAACTTCAAAATTTAGGTCAATGCCCACCAAACCCTTCCAGTATTTTCTCTTGGTCATGGGAGTTCTGTGTGCTAAGTCTGGTTCAATTCCATCATTGGTGGAGTTCGGAATGCTCTTTGATTGTAGGTTACCTATAAATCCCAGCAACTACATTTCCCAAATGACAAAATCAAACCCCCCAACCCCTCCAATATTCAAATTTGGCCATATTGGGTATTTGTGCCAAATTTGGTCCAGTGAATGAAAATACATCCTGCATATCAGATATTTACATTAGATTCATAACAGCAGCAAAATTACAGTTATGAAGTAGCAATGAAAATAATGTTATGGCTGGAGGTCACCACAAGATGAGAAAATGTATTAAGGGGTCATGGCATTAGGAAGGTTGAGAAACAATGTCTTAGACTGTGTTTTTGTGGAGACTGGGAATATTAGCACTATCAGGATGGTGATCCCTTTGCTGGTCTTAGTGGCTGTGGCAAGTGCTCAGCTAAGCCACACTCTGGCACTGGCTGTATTGGGCAATACAGTTTCTGGACAGTTATGCTTCTTCCTGTTTTGTCTTTAGGGGTTCCCAGACTTTTTCTGAAGGCCTCCTGGCCTGGAAAGGCAGGATTTCTGAAGGGACGGTGTGGCAGGATTGATGATTAACCTCTTCTGAAATGGCTGAAAAGGACGGTGAGTTGTCCTTTTGAAAAAGGCCCTAGAACTTCCCAATCCTTCCCCTTCTGCATCTATGACCCTTCCACCCCAACTCCTCCCACTCTGTAGAGACAGAACAGAACTTAAACATTAACATTGTTGGTTGGCCTAGAAAATGCAGTGACAAAATTTGCTCGTTACGTAATTCACTCCTTCACTCCTTGTCTTTCTTTCTCCAGGATACACTTTTCTTTATGCGAGGGCACATTCTACAGGGAAAACTAAGATAGTCCTATTTGAGAGAGGAGAAACCATGACTTGAAGACGTTCTTCAAGTAAATAGTTATCATATATACATATAGTTCCCATATAAAGATAAAGACAGCTTCATTCCATGATCCATACAGAAAGGGCACTTTGCCTTGCCATGGGATGCCTCCATCCCTTGAACCATGGACTTTACACAAATGGGGGAGTAAATCTGTTATGCAGTGGTTCTCAACCTGTGGGTCTCCAGGTGTTTTGACCTACAACTCCCAGAAATCCCAGCCAGTTTACCAGCTGTTAGGATTTCTGGGAGTTGAAGGCCAAAATATCTGGAGAGCCACAGGTTGAGAACTACTGCTGTTATGGGTTTGCTCTGAAGTCTAAATCCAGGGTGCTGAACCCTAAACCCCAAATACAACCAGCACTTTGGACAGCTTCTTAAAATGTTTGTGTGAAAATTCAGAGTGGATTCAATTGCCCTATTAACATGCCCGTAGGAGATAAAGAACAACAATGAGACAATAAGGGGTCTTGAAGTTGCTCATCAACAATTGGACAGCAGATAAAATGGGCAGAGTCACCAGGACACTGTGTTGCTCAGTTTGGTAGAATCTACTGTGTTTCTAATACAGTTCCACCTAATCTGGCACCTTTCTCCTTTGGCATCTTTTGGAGTGATACCCCCTCCCACTCCCCATTTTGGGAAGTGAGGGGAAATCAATGACCAGGGATCTTGGAGGATCATTATAAGATGAACTTGACTGAATGGCAAACAAACAACCATCTTCACAAAAGCTGGAATTGTTTTGTTGCTACTGACCCTGTTGCACTAATGTTTTTGCTTTCTGCTCTTCCATGTGGCATTTTTTTTAGCATCTCCACAGACCACCCAGAAAATTAAGTTTGAACCCATTTCAGTCATCCTACTTCAGTGACACTAAAAGCCAGATCCTTTACATTTTTACTTAGGTTGATAACAACAGAAATATCAAGAAATTCAGCAAATGAATGGGGAAGAAAATGATGCAAACTACAGTTTTCCTCCACCGGTCTGCATCAATTCCACCCTTGATAATCAGGCCATGATTATATGATTTTGGATTTTCTCCTGGAATCTGTTTAAAGGCTCATTGGACTTACAATATGTGTTCCTCAAAAAAACCCAACAACAACTTTTTAATGATGGGAAGACTGACTATTGGAACAGCCTCTCTTTGACTTTTTTTTTTAAAAAAAAACCTTTCTTTCTTCTATTACTGTATATGCAACATTTCCACACAAGGATCAGTCAAGATTTTTTTTTCGTGTCAGGAGTGACTTGAGAAACTACAAGTTACTTCTGGTGTGAGAGAATTGGCCGTCTGCAAGGATGTTGCCCAAGGAATACCTGGATGTTTTGATGTTTTACTATCCTTGTGGGAGGCTTCTCCCATGTCCGCATGAGGAGCTGGAGCTGACAGAGGAAGCTCATCCACACTCTCCCTGGATTTGAACCTGCGATGCAATGAATATGAGAACTCATACTAACCAAACACTTAAAGAACAGAAACGAAGAGCTGTGCCAGCTGGAATGACTCATAGAGGCTCTGTTAAGGAGAAAATCACAAGCATTTCTATTATATAGTCTATTGTATGCTCAGTATGCACTTGCCCACCATTTAACTTGATCCTCAAGGTGCACTGAGAGAAACAACTTTATAGTTGACCCTCAGCTCAGTGGCCTGCTGAGCCGATCCTGCTTGAGAATAGTGGAAAGTGGTGGAAATACGAGGGCAGTTGTAAATGTCTGGAATGACTGAAATTCTGCTCCTGTAAATTGAGTTGCATTACTGCTCCTGCCAAAGTGAACAAAAGGACTCTTTGGTTACGCAACAGTGCAATGACAGGTAGTGTTAAGCAAGGGAGTCAAAAAGTCAAACTTTGCCAGTGTAGTCTTGCTTATTGTGCACTGGTATTGCAGAGCTTTCTGGGTTCATGCTATACTCCGGAAGGGGTTTCTGTGCTCCTTTTTTTTAAACCAAGGATTTTTTTAAACTCATCATTTGATTGTATTTAAAAGCTAACTCCATATTCTTTTAATGGGTTAGTTTTCCTTCTTCTTCTTCTCCCCCCCCCACTCCACTTTCCCCACCACACTTTCCCCACCACCTTAAATATCTTAGCAAAAGTGCTGCAAAGAGCCCTCTCCTCTTTTCTGTTCCTTTACAAATATTTTCTAGCGAGTTATTGCAGCCCCATTAGAAATCCCCCTGTTTGGAGTGTTCACCTTTGTTTTGTCTTGCAGGAGGCCTTAAAGCATGCCATTGGACTCCACTTAAAGTAGTGGCTGTGATTGCCACTGGCTTTCTGTTCCTGGCTGGAATTGGAGCTGGAATCTGGGCTGCAGGTGAGAGACCGTGTTCACAGATCCTGATGCACATTAAAACTTTTGGAACATGTGAATCTCCATAACCACTTGGGAAATGGGATTCATAACCTTTTTGGAAAACCACTGGCCAAGGAAAGACATGACCTTGTGAGAAGTCACAACCTCTTGAAAAGTGATGCTCACCAGCATTCATGCAAGGCCACTAGGTCTCTCAGCTGTTAAACTGATGTATCTAGGTATGTCTTTAAACTGCTAGGGACAAAGGCATGCCAGTGCACAAAAACATATATTCAGCAGAGTTTCAGAAGTGTTCCTCTAGTTGCCCAAAACATCTACTCTCCCATAAAATACATTTGCCTTTAAATCATGCTCTTAAGAAACAAAATAAAAAATCTTATTTCTGAGTAACAGAGTTGGTTTACTCACAAAACTTCATGTATACAGCATACAGGCACTTTGCTTATGAATCCAGTTACAATAGGATTTTAAGTAGTAGTTTCTCTGTGTAGGTAACACAGGACATCTTAGAAACAATAGTCCATAGACCTAAGGAGTGTTTAAGTATACATCTTACTGAAGTCTAAACTGTATAGCTGCTGCTGATGTAAACAAACACACTGACATGTAAAGGCATCTGCTTGCTTCTACTCTCTCTAAGAGTCTAATGGCTTCTATCTCCACTGAAATCTAAAGCAAAACTAAACTGGAGTCTTAGTCCTGAACATGTCCAGACCTGATCACATGGTCTTCAGCCCTTCCCACAGCAAAGAGGTTAGATAAAATTGCAAACCAATACACACATACAATACAGGAAGCAATTATATATATATGTATATAACAAATAACCAGTGGAGGCTTGAGGAGGTTGCTATTTCCAACAAAAATCAGAGGTTCTCAAGTCTGGAACCCTTCCCTTCTATGGACTTTGCAAGCAGGAAAAAACTTTATCCAAAATTTATTTCTGCATGGAGGACTGCAAAGTTGTCCTCAAGCTCTATTTTGAAAAGATATGTGGCCTTCTGCCAGGAAGAAAGAGGAAAAAAAAGTTAGCATCAAACTGCTTCTGATTAAATGATTACTGGTGAACTTCTAAATTCTAAAGGGAAGGGATACTCTCAGAGTCATAGTGAAGGTACTACTGGGAATCCCCACAGAGCTACGTTGCTATTGCTGATTGTGTTCTTGCATCTATTCTGTAGCTGAATTCTGTCATAATTTCATCCTTATATGTCTACTCCTTTGCAGTGGTTACTTTGCTGGGAAGCGAAAAAGAAAGCCTATATGGTGGTGAGTGTTCGTAGCAGCATCAGGGCAAAGACTTATTTCTCAAAAGAGTGTCTTGCACATTGTTCTTGGTACTGAAACATAAAACATCCTTCTTCATCCAATTTTCAAAAACAATGAAGGTTTCATTATTTATTTATTTATTATTTACTGTRTTTGTATACCGCCCCTCTCAGCCTGGAGRTGACTCRAGGCGGTTTACATTTGGCAATCAATGCCCCACAAGATAAAATACAGTCAAAAACAATTACATATAATATAAACCATATAAAAACAATAAACAATTAAAACCATAAAGTACAAGTCCTATTAACAAAGCCCAAATATTTCTTCAGAAAAGTTGTACATTTCTGGAGGCAGCAGAAAAAACTTGAAGTGYATGCAAAGTATAGGCTAACAATAACTTCAAAGAGGAAAATGTTTCATACCATTTTATTCTCTTGTGTGAAAAAGACACATCTGTCCAGACATTCTGAATTACTAATTTAATTTATTCTCCAAGTGCAAATTGTTTTTTGATATTTTGGACTAAAGCTAATGCAAATTTTAGTAAGGTGTGTTTGTATGTTAGGTAAAGGTTTCCCCTTGACATTAAGTCTAGTTGGCTCCAACTCTGGGGGTTGGTGCTCATCTCCATTTCTAAGCTGAAGAGCTGGCATTGTCCCTAGACACCYCCAAAGTCATGTGGCCAGCATGACTTCATGGAGTGCCATTACCTTTCCGTAGAAGTGGTACCTATTGATCTACTCACATTTGCATGTTTTCGAACTGCTAGGTTGGCAGAAGCTGGGGCGAACAGCGGGAGCTCACCCTTCTCCCTGGATTCAAACTGCTGACCTTTCAGTCAGCAAGTTCAGCAGCTCAGTGGTTTAACCCACTGCACCACTGGGGGCATTTTTATGAATATATTACATATATAGATTAAGTTACATGAAATGCTGATATTGCGGTTGATTGCTATGGGGATGCCCTTAGCTAACAGAGTTTTGTCTAATCTAAATTTCAATATTGTTGTTTATATTTGATGCACTATACTGCATTTTAATAGCATTGGGTTCGAATAGGCAAAATCTTTATATCAATTGTTTTATTTAGTACTTTTATAGTAGGTAAAAGATAAAAGTTTTCCACTGGCATTAAGTCCAGTCATGTCCGACTGTGGGTTGGTGCTCATCTCCATTTGTAAGCTGAAGAGTCAGCATTTTCCATAGATACCTCCAAGGTCATGTGGCTAGCATGACTTCATGGAGCACTGTTATAGTATTGTACTTTTATATGTAATTTATATTTGATACGTGGCAGGCCTATGACCTAAGTGTTAATGAATAGTATACAAGCTGAAAGATTTCCAAGAAGTGATTCAGGTTCAGTCCAAGGTGATGCTTCGGAGATGGTTCGGTGAGGGATAACTAGACAATTTTAATGCCTTTCTTTGGTCTCTTCAGTTCAAGTGAGCCCTGGAGATCTGCGCCTCACCGTCTATGATGAGAATGAAGGGAAATGGAGGCTCCTTTGCTCTTCCTCGCACAATGCCCAGGTGGCATCCCTAAGTTGTGAAGAGATGGGATTTGTCAGGTATTTAAAGAGAAGTTCTGGAGTTAATGGCTACAAAACCTAGGCATTACTGTGCTGCATTAGGATGGTAATTTAACAAGGGATAATATCCCTCCTTCGGTGATGTCATGGTAGCATTGAAAGTTATTTTTATGGTTACAGAGTGTGACTCCATAAATATTTGGAAACAAATCCTACATACCATATATACTCGAGTAAAAGCTGACCCAAATATAAGCCAAGGCACATAATTTTACCACAAAACAATGAGAAAACTTATTGACTCGAGTATAATCAGAGAGTGGGAAATGGAGCAGCTACTGGTAAATTTCAAAATAAAAACAGTTACCAATAAAAGTACATTAGTTGAGGTTAAATGTTTTTGAATATTTACATAAAACAGCAATTTAAGACTGTCCAACTCTGATTAAATGAATGTTCTAGCCTTCTTCAATGTAAATGTGCTTATGTATCATTCCAATAATAATAATTAAGAGAGTAAAATAATGAATGTAATAATAATAACAGAGTAAAATAATGGAAATGTACTAATAACAGTAATAATATTTTTATTTCGTATACTTCTACCCCGCCCTTCTCAACCCCCGAGGGGGGACTCAGGGCGGCTTACAAAAAGGCACATCTTGGTGCCCACACAAATACAATAACATATAAAAACAGTAATAAATGGTCAACAGTTAAAACAATAAAACAACAATATATCACTCAATCGATAGCCAATCTCAGACACAGCGTTCGCCAACTCAGAGTCATATTTCGTTCCACATTGTCCATTCCTATCCGTCGTCACAGTCCTTTATTCATCTGCCAGATTGCCCAAACGCCTGGTCCCACATCCATGTTTTTAATTTCTTTCTGAAGGAAAGGAGGGATGTTGCTGATCTAATTTCCCCGGGGAGTGAATTCCATAGGTGAGGGGCCACCACTGAGAAGGCCCTGCTCCTTGTCCCCGCCAATCTCACTTGTGACAGAGGCAGGGCAGAGAGCAGGGCCTCCCCAGAAGATCTTAAACTCCGAGGTGGGATGTAGAGGGAGATCGTTCGGACAGATACGCTGGGCCGGAACCGTAAAGGGTTTTGTAGGTCAAAACCAGCACCTTGAATTGTGCTCGGAACTGAATCGGCAGCCAGTGGAGCTGACATAACATGACTTTTCTTCTTTCTTTCCTCCGGTGAGTAATCTGGCTGCCGCCCGTTGGACTAATTGAAGTTTCCGAACAGTCTTCAAAGGCAACCCCACGTAGAGTGCGTTGCAGTAATCTATCCGGGATGTAACAAGAGCGTAGACCACCGTGGCCAGATAATAGAGTAAATTTATAAATGTAATAATAATAATAGAGTAAAATAATGTAAATGTAATAACAATAATAATAAAGTAAAATAATGTACATGTAATAACAACAATAATAGAGTAAAATAACAAATAATAAATGTAATAATAATAAATGTAATAATAAATGTAATAATAATAATAATAGAGCAATGCAAAGAAATAATAATAATAAATAGAGTACAAAAATAAATGTAATACAAATAATAATAATAATAATAATAATAACAACAACCCGGTAAAATAATAAATAACCTTGACTCGAGTATAAACCAAGTCAACTTTTTTCAACTTGAAAAAAGGGCTGAAAAACTCGGCTTATACTCAAGTTTATATGGTGCTTCAAATGCTCCCTTGTATAGAGGGACAGAGAATGCATTATATACCACAATCAAAAGGCTGGTGGCTATGACATTTTTATCTCACAAAAAGCAATGCAAAATGGGACTATTTTATTTACTGTCGAGAAGCAAAGAATTAATAGGGCAGTGTTAAAAATAGATACCTAAAACAACAACTGACTGCAATCAGCCTTCCACATTCACTATGATTAAGGGCACAGGACCCCGGGAAAGTGCAAAACTGCAAATAAAGAAATTACAATTTTTCATTTGAGAGAACACCTCTAGGAATTTTTAGGTCTTCTAACATGACTCTGTGGCTAATTTCTGCTGGAAACAGATCATAGATTTGCATTGGAGGACATAGACTCTCCTGGAGAGATATTCTTTCTAGAAATCTCTATTTTCTCCAGCATGACTAGAGGTAGTTGACCATAGAATCACAATGGAGCAGGCATGGGGGCCACATGCTCACTCTCCCTGCTAGGAGGACTACCTTTCTGCTGATGGATGGATGGATGGATGGATGGATGGAAGGAAGGAAGGAAGGAAGGAAGGAAGGAAGGAAGGAAGGGAAGGAGGAAAGAAAGAGAGAAGGAAGGAAAGACAAAAGGGAAGGAAGGACGAAAAGGGGGAAGGGAAGGAAGGAAGGAAGGAAGGATGGATGGATGGATGGATGGATGGATGGAAGAAAAGAAGGAAGGAAGGAAGGAAGGAAGGAAGGAAGGAAAGGATAAAGGGAAAGAGAAGGAAGAAGAAGAGAAAAAGGAGAAGGAGGAAGGAAGGAAGAGGGAGAGAAGGAGAAGAGGGAAGGAAGGAAAAGGAGAAAGAGGGAGGGAAGAGAGGGAGGTGAGAAGGAAAGAGAAGGAAGGAAAGATAAACGAGAAGGAAGGAAGGAGAAAGAGGTAGAGAGGGAGGGAGGGAAGGGCAAAATGTGGAAGGGAAGGAGGGAGGGAAAAAGGGAAGTAAGGGAGGGAGAGAGGGAAGGTGGGAGGAAAGAGAAAAAGGAAGGATAGGATAGGATGGTGAGAGAGAGGAGGGTCTGAGGAAAGAGCCCAAGGGACTGCATCTGGCCCCCGGGCCTGGATTTGCCCTTACCTGCAATGGAGGCTCTAGAGATTCTTAGAGATAATATTTTAAATCAACAAGTCTGGAAAGTCAAAAGTGCTAATGTGGAGGGACAACTCTGTACTTGCCTTTCTTGAAATTATAACTTTATTTACTGACTGTGTAAGTGTAAACTTTCCAAGTTTGGCTTATGCACAAAGCTTCAGAGATGGTATACACAAAGAGACAAGGAAAAGCCAGGGATGGATCGAGTTATTCTGGGCTGAATCATCCGGAGATAGTTGGCCAAGCTTATGAATGGGTGGAGCTGCACATGTTGTTTTCTTCATATATCTGACCCAGCTTGGGTCAAGTTGAACTAAATGGTTATGTTTAAGTCTGTTTTATGCCGGTGAATGATTGCCCCAAAGATCATGTGGAGTTCACATGCATCTGAACCAGTTTGCAATGTAAAATTATATCAGTATATGATAATCCCAGAAGATCTGCATTGTGCTACTAATCGGGTCAAAAGAGCTGTTGTTCAGTGAATCAGAGTATATGTTTTGCATGCATAAGATTATTTGTCTAGTCCTTGGCATATTTAGCTCTCAAGCAAGGCTGAGGAACCAGGTGCTTTGAAGCCAGGGACCCAAGGTTTCCTAAATAGGCATCCCAATATCCTCATGTCATCATCATTTAGTAATTTCTTATTTTTTAAAGAATGTTTTTGCAACTACAGCAGAGTCTCATTTATCGAACCTTTGCTCATCCATCGTTCTGTATTATCCAATGGAGTCTGCCTCCCAGATCCACAGCTAGTTCAATACATTGCAATATTTTGGTGCTAAATTTGTAAATACAGTAATTACTACATAACGTTACCGTGTATTGAACTGCTTTTTCTCTCAGTTTGATGTAAAACATGATTTTTGGTGCTTTATTTGTAAAATCATAAAGTATTGTATATACTCGAGTATAAGCCTAGTTTTCCAGCCCTTTTTTTAGGCTGAAAAAGTCCCCCTCGGCTTATACTCGAGTCAAGATTATTTATTATGTTGTTGTTGTTGTTGTTGTTATTATTTTCATTTCATTTATTATTTTATTCTATTTATTATTATTACATTTATCATTTTACTCTAATATTATACATTTATTATTTTACTGCATGATTCTTATTGCTACATTCATTATTTTACTCTTTTTATTATTGTTTTTATATTTCTTATGTTACTCTCTTTATTATTATTGGAAGGATACATAAGCACATTTACATTGAAGATGGTAAATAATCATTTAATCAGAGTTGGACAGTCTTATCTTAAATTACCATTTTTGTAAATATTCAAAAATATATAACCTACTGATTCCTCAATGAATGTAATTTAATTGGTATCTATTTTTATTTTGCAATTTACCCATAGCGGCTGCATTTCCCACCCTCGGCTTATACTTGAGTCAATCAATTTTCTCAGTTTTTTGTGGTAAAATTAGGTGTCTCGGCTTATATTCGGGTCGGCTTATACTCGAGTATATATGGTAATTTGACATTCAATAGGCTTTTCCTTAATCCTTCCTTATTATCCAACATTTTTACTTATCCAACGTTGTGCCAGCCCGGTTATGTTGGATAAGCGAGACTCTACTGTATTTTTGTATTTTTCTTATAACCTAAGGCACATTCCAGGCTGATTAAAAAGACCAGGAAGTCCCAGATTTTGTTCCTGTTCTTTCCCATTTTAGTCTGGAGATCCATACACATTTTGTTTATTGCAGAATACTTTCTCTCAACTCCTAGTATGATTAGGGACTTTTTATACCAGCTCCCCAGGTTAGTTTATTTTAACTAGTGTAAAATTGGAAAGAATAGGGACAAATTGTGAGACTTTTCAATTAGTCTGGATTCTTCCTTAGTTATTGAAAGTAAGAGTTATAGACTAAAATAAGGTGACTATTTGGCTTACTCTATTTGGCCCTATTTGGCAAAAAGTCTTCAAGAACTCTGAAAGTGAATTGGGATCACAGGTTAACATTACCGTATATACTCGAGTATAAGCCAACCTGAATATAAGCCGAGGCACCTAATTTTAAAAACTGGGAAAACTTATTGACTCAAGTATAAGCTGAGGGTGGGAAATTCAGCAGCTACTAGGAAATGTCAAAATAAAAATAGATACCAATAAAATTATATTAATTGAGGCATCAGTAGGCTAAATATTTTGAATATTTACCGTATTTCAAAGAAAAACAGTAAACTAGCTCTGTAAGTGGAAAAGTAGTCATCAAAACAATATGGTATCAACAATAACTTAATAATAATAATAGTAATCGGCACACTTGGTGCAGTGCTAAAGACCTTGGCCTGCACTTAAACACAACCAGCACTAACAAAATTACCATCTGTCAGCTGCAAAAGCCCCCTCCCCCCTACTTGGATCTGCACGCATTATTCGCAGGTACATCACACAGTCCTAGACACTTGGGAAGTGTTCGACATGTGATCCAATACAACATTCAACATAGTGATCTTGTTTGCTGTGTACTAATCTTGTTGTGTTTCTAATAATAATAATAATCATCATCATCATCTTGTTGTGTTTCAAATACTACTACTACTACTACTACTAATAGAGTTTCATTTGTATCCTGCCCTATCTCCCCATGGGGACTCAGGCCGTCTTCCAACATAGTAATAGCTAAACATTCAATGCCTATATAAACAATGCAGAGCTAGATATGGATCAGTAATTATATATACAAATTTCACATATGCATTTTCCCCTGAAACGTTTGTAAATCCTCTCTCTATATATGTGCATTTCCCCCCTGCAATATTTGCAAGCCCTATATATCTATATTCATATACTGTATATCTATCTAGACATCTCTCTATATATAGATAATTATATCTATATAGGATTTGCAAAGATTACAAACATGTGAGGGGAAAATTCACATATAAAATAATGTGTGTGTGTGTGTGTGTATATATATATATATGCGCAGATATACAGATACATGGAAATCTCTAGATATCTATATGTATATAGGCTTTGCAAAGGCCTACAAACATATGAGAGGAAAACTTACAAGGGAACAAAAATGCACATATAAAGGTAAAACATTTAGACACACACACACAAAGCCAGGAATTTGGGTGGGTTTGAAAGAGAGCCATACAAACAAGGAAGACATTAAATAGATCTCTTTTCCCTCCTTCCCTCCCTTTTGACTGGAAAAGAAAACACAGTGCCAAGGAAGGTGCCAAGGGAGGTGAAGAGGAGAGAGAAATATATCATACATTGCAAGCAATGGCTTCCAGGCTTCCCTGCCTGGATGCCTGGCCTTGATCCTATTATAAGCAGAGGGAGGCTTTTTCAGCTCAAAAGAAGGGTTCAAAAACCGGGCTAATCTTTTGAGTGTATGCGGTAGATTATCTGGTAAATTTATGGCAATGCAGACAGTCAGGGAGGACAAGATTATGCAGGCGACTTTCTGACAATAAGAGCAGTACCTTCCAGTCAGGCATGTAGCGGGGGGGGGGGGGGGGGGACCACCAAATTCTCAGGGTGGTCCACGAGAAGGCCTTACTGGTACATTATTTAAACTGTTATGTTTATTTATATCATGATCTGATCACCATGCTCAATATATCCCATATGCATGGGGGTATTGGGGTAACGATACAAAAGGTTTGCTACTGTAGACCCTCTTTCACTCAGACTCAGCCCCCCCCCCCCCGAATCAAACTCAGCTCCCCCCGAACCAAAATCCTGGCTACGGGCCTGCTTCCAGTAATAATTATTTGGACAATCCTAGCCCCAGTTTAAGGATAAATAATAACCATAAGAAGGCACAGCAAAGGCCTTAAAGTTACCAATCCATTCTTAGCACCTAGGTTCTTTTCATACAAAGAATTGTGGAGTTATAATTCCACTGGAACTGCTATAGCAACATCCTATGGAATAATAGAATTTGCAGTTTTGGAATGGGATGCTTGCATGCACAGTTAGAGAGCTTTGGCGCCTAACCAAACTACAAATCCCTGCATTCCATATGTAGTCGAATCATCGTGCCATAGTTGTGTAGCGCAATAGGCCATGAATCAATCAATTCTAAAACATATATTTTTAGAGCCGTTCTATCATTACTTCTTTGGGAAATGAAGGAAAGTCTTATCTGAATCTGATAGAAGACTTTTATAGAGCACTCCCACTTTTGGATCAAAGCTAACACTCCTGAAAGCACCGAGATTGCTGTAATAATGCTGTGTGGCTGCATGAGCAATTGATTCTCTCTGTGTTTGCCTCCACTGCAGGTCCCTCTCTCATTCAGTGCTGGCTGCTGACAGCGCAGGGGCCAATGGGACATCCGGTTACTTCTGTGTGGATGGGTCTCGATTGCCTTATGCACGAATGCTCAGTGAGGCCCTTGTTGTTTGGTAAGGTTCAAAATGGACTGCAACTCCTCTCTTCAGGGTCTTTAGACCACCTTTCCCAAACATCAAGCTTTATATATTATTAGAATATCATCTATCATCTCTGGAAAAGCATTAGGTAAAGGTAAAGGTTTCCCCTTGACATTAAGTCCAGTCATGTCTGACTCTGGGAGACGGTGCTCATCTCCATTTCTACGCTAAAAGCTGGTGTTATCCATAGACACCTCCAAGGTCATGTGGCCAGCATGACTGCATGGAGTGCCGTTACCTTCCAGCCGGAGCGGTACCTATTGATCTACTCACATTTGCATGTTTTTGACTGCTAGCATTAGTTAGTGGTTAAGGAACAGGCACCATTGCCAAGGCAGTCTGGATGCTCCCTTAATGGAGATTTGGGGGGGGGGGAGGGGGGGAGATTGCATAACTTTTCATCCCAAAAGTTTAGGGTGAAGCACTCTTCCTGCTCAGTCCATAATCTTCCTGTTCAGCCTATGAGTCAATGATGGCTGTTGTGAGGGAGATTCTGGGTTCTCTACTAACCTTAGTTTCCAAGTGTTGTTCCAACATGATAAAAATAAATGTCAATGTAAATACAAAGTGGCAAGAAGTCTGGTTTTGGGTGTTCAGAAATGGATATTATTTGACGTTACACAGGAAAGGAAATTAAATTGTTGCATCTGGAGGCTTCCAGGAGCAGCAATTCACCAGATTGATGTGTGGATTCTGTAGGCCTCAAAAGCCACAAAACATCCTTGGAGGGGTCCTAGTGGCCTCAAGGCAATATTTAGAGTTAACAGGAAGCGTATGTCCAATTTCAAGTGTACAGTGTTCCCTCACTACTTCGCGGTTTGCTTTTTGTAGACTCGCTTTTTTGCGGTGTCTTTAAATCTCTCCTAGCTTCTGCCTCACCCTCAGAATATGTGATGTGTGTGTGTGTGTGTGTGTGTGTGTGTAGCTCTTCTACTTCACAGATTTTCACTTTTTGCGTGTGGTCCTGGAACGTAACACCCTCAATAAGTGAGGGAACACTGTATTCTGTATAGTTCCATTCTGGTCTTTGAATATGGTTTACAAGTGTTTAAGTGCTGAAATGAACTAGTTATGGGTTCCACTAGAGCCTGAATTCCATTTATACTATCTGGCATGCCTGTATGGAAGAAAGTGAGATGTTGAATGATTAAAGGTGAAAATACAAAATAAAAAGCTGTTATGTTTGGAAATGTGAATTCTCTGTCCAATAGAAAACTTGATTGGTAAGGAATTTGGAATCCATACATCCTTGATGTTGTTGCCTTTCTGTCCCACTAAATATTCTCTTTTTTGTCTTTTTACAGTGAGTGTCCAACAGGCCGCTTCCTGGCCACACTCTGTCAAGGTATGGGCACCTGAAAGTCCCTGATGGGCCTAAGTGCAAGTTTTGGTTTTGCCATCCCCATATCTCTTTTCTTTGTCCTATAGCAGTGCTTCTGCCAACTGCATCTGGCATGGGGACTGATCAATGAAGTAAAAAATAGGTGCAAAAGTACAAAAGAAGAGAAGAGGGGCCTCAGATATTCATAAAGGTTGCATGTGCAACCTTTATGAATACCCTAAATAACCTAAATATCCCAAATATCTTGAACCTGATTTAGGTTATAGGAGTATAATCTCAATCAATTTGCAGTCTACACTGGAAAAAAATGCCCAGTCCAGTCACCTCTGTGTGTATGCTGTCCAGGGACTTTTTTACATTAATAATACAATAATAATACAACTTTATTTATATATACCCCGCCGCCATCTCCCATAGGGACCCGGGCCAGCTTACAAAATTTCATTAAGCAGTTTTATCACTATAGTCCACTTTGGCATCTTATGGTATCCTCAAATTTGTAGTTTGGGCAGACACTAGAGCTCTCTGATGGACAGTTTTAAATATCCTTCCTGCACATTGAGAGATTCCATAGGATGTGACCATAGCAGATGAAATGAAACCAGCACTATAATTGTGTAATATTAAAGGGCCCCAGATACTATTAGTAGATTAATACCTTCAAAGGCTTTGCTATTCCTTCTTACAGTATTTATATTTAAACTGGGCATAGATTGAACAGCCCATCAAAGGAAAGACACTTCCAAAAAGCCGATGTAATCTAACAATTAATGTTGGCTGGTGGCTTCCATGTTGGTGAGATGATGAATTCATTCTGGATTTTTGTTCTGATCTTTGAAGGAGTTAGTTATTGAACTAGAATCCTCCCAAATAGACTCAGCACCTTGTGGGGCAGAATGGAATGCCTCCATTCTGTCCCACAAAACAATCTAGCTGCTTTCCCATGGTGAACCACCTCCTCCTCCCTCCCTAGGGCGTAACAGCTTTGGTAACTCCTTAAGATTTAGACTAAAGCCCAAGGGAACTTTTCGGCTGAGACCGTAGCTAAAAGCTGCCTTTGCTAACAACTGCTCAAGCAGAGGACTGCCCTCTCTTAAGTTGGGCACCTATCTTGTCAAAATCAGGTAGCCACATTTAAATTTTGCCTAGTTACTGGCATCCTGTTACTGACATTGGTAAAGGTAAAGGTTTCCCCTTGACATTAACTCTAATCGTGTCCAACTCTGGGGGGTGGTGTTGTTCATCTCCATTTCTAAGGCAAAGAGCTGGCATTGTCTGTAGACACCTCCAAGGTCATGTGGCCAGCATGACTGCATGGAGTACTGTTACCTTCCTGCAGTAGCGGTACCTATTGATCTACTCACATTTACATGTTTTCGAACTGCAATGTTGGCAGAAGCTGGGGCTAACAGTAGAAGCTCACCTGCTTGGGTTCAAACTGCCAACCTTTCAGCAGCTCAGCAGTTTAACCCACTGTACCACTGGGGATAATTCATGTGTAATTCATACCTACACATGCATTCAGTTTACTTTAGGGGACAGTTCACTTGCCCTCTCACTCCACCCCAACATCTCCCTCTGTCTTCAGCAATTCAGACATGAAGATCTACATGCTCAAAGTTGCTGAGTAAGAAAAAAGGCAGGTTATTGTATTTGAGAGAATGCCTCCATTTCTGCTCCACAAAACAATCTAGCTGCTTTTCCATGGTTAACCACCTCCTCCTCCCTCCCTAGGGCGTAACAGCTTCTAGACAGTGTAAGGATGTGGAACTGTGTTTGTGGACATATGTGCAACAACATGATCACATGATTGTTTTGGAAAGACATTGGGAAGCTACCAAGATTTTAGAGACATCATTGAAACTTTGGAACATTTCTGTCCCAGATTTGTTTCTTGCAGAACAAATGTCTAACTTACTTTTTGTAGATTGTGGACGGCGAAAATTGTCTATGGACAGGATTGTGGGAGGCCAAGATGCCAGCTTGGGGAAATGGCCATGGCAAGTCAGTCTCCGCTACGATGGGACGCATCTTTGTGGTGGCTCTGTCATCTCTTCCGAATGGGTTATCACAGCAGCGCACTGCTTTCCAGAGTAAGTCCCAGTCAAATGCTGTGTGCCCCAGGCAATACAACTTATAGGCTATTCTGAGAAATAATGTGAGGACTGCCAGGAAGTAAGAAATCCAGATCCAAGATGATTTATTCGCCTCCTTTCTTCTTCCCTTCAGGTGGTTGTTAAAACTATTATGTGTTGTACAACTGACCCTAGGATTGTCTCAAGATATTTTGTTGCCCAACTCAAAGTATAAAAATGGTGCTCAACAGCACTAACACTTGAAATGTACTTACTTACTTACTTACTTGCTTACTTAGGTGATCCCTCATTGTCTGAGTAAGTTTGTCCTCCAAGTTCGGTGTCCTGGCAGTGGGTCCGTAGGTGACTTTGGAACCCTATTCTTGACCTCTATGTTCTCCCGCAGTGAGGGCATCAGTTTCCAGGTGGAAGGCGGTTCTGTTTGGGGTTGGCTTGAAGTGCCTTCCTCTTGACATCTTTCTCACTCTTGCTCTCAATTCATGCCTCTTTAAATTCCACAGCACTGCTGGTCATAGCTGACCTCCAGCTAGAGCGCCCAAGGGCCAGAACTTCCCAGTTATCGGTGTCTATGACACAATTTTTAAGGTTGGCTTTGAGCCCATCTTTAAATATCTTTTTCTGTCTCTCCAATACCTTTCTGCCATGCTGCCTGCAACAGCTGCTTCATTATGCCTAGGGACAGGGTTGACCCCGGCTGTTCTGCCACAATACCATTTTGAGTTGTCCCATCTCTCTGCAGGAGGAATCGAGTGGTGAGCCGGTGGCGGGTCTTTGTGGGCGCTGTTTCCCAGTCCTCTGCTAAGGGGCTGCAGGTGGGTGTGACGAGCATTGTGTACCACGGTGGCTACCACCCCTTCCAGGATCCCAACAGTGAGGAAAACAGCAACGACATTGCCCTGATGCACTTGGCGGCACCCCTTTCCTTCAATGGTGAGAAGATTGTTGGCGTCATTGAAGACAATGGGGGAAGGCCTGGGAGAATTGTCAAGAAAACCCGTAAGCTCAGGGCTGCCTCCAAATTTGGCAAGAGCTTGGACAAATGACCTTGTTCTGATCTAGAAATTATGGTCCAAACAAGAAATTAAGAAGTTCAAAAAGGTACTTTTTCAAGTTGTAGATCTGGAGAAACAAATTGCCCTCTCTAAGTAGACTCACCTCGTTCGCCATTGTCACTGTTACCTTATTGTCTTCTCCCTTTTGCTCTAATCGGAATCACTTTCCAGATAGATAAAATGCAAATTGAAACTGCTAAACTTCCTTTTTCCACACTTGTTAGGGGTGTAAATATGGTGGAGGAGATGGGCATTACCCCCATAAGAAATATGCCCCCAATATATATTTTGGTCTTTACATTTCTAGTATTGATGTTACTTTAAAAACTTCAGTTGAGAACTTAGAAATATAGTTTCAGCATCCAAAAATGTTGGGCAGTCAAATTTACAAGGGAACATGAATATGACAAGTATAAGTTATAAAAGTGAATTCTTTCCATTGTCACCCTTTTTGCAGAAATAGAATTAGGATATTGAAAAAAATATTTCATGTAGGGTGGCATAATTTTTATTTGAGGACAACAATCTCATTCTGCCTCCACTGATAGCTTTTGTGTGTGTGTGTCAGGAGCGACTTGAGAAACAGCAAATTGCTTCTGGTGTGAGAGAATTGACCATCTTCAAGGATGTTGCCCAAGGGACACCTGGATGTTTTGATGTTTTACCATCCTTGAGGGAGGCTTCTCTCATGTCCCCACATGGGGAGCCAGAGCTGACAGAGAGAGCTCATCCGCGTTCTCCCCAGATTCGAACCTCCAAGCTTTCGGTCTTCAGTCCTACTGGCACAAGGATTTAACCCATTGCGCCACCCAGGGCTCCTATAATAACAGTAATAATTGAGTAAAATAATAAATGTAATAATAATAATAGAGTAAAATAATAAATAATGTAAATGTAATAATAACAATAATAATAGAGTAAAATAGCTACATTTTGCCTCCCCTGATAGCTTTTTTTTCGTGTCAGAAAAAAAACTTACATTGAGAAACTGCAAGTTGCTTTTGGTGTGAGAGAATTGACCATCTGCAAGGATGTTGCCGAGGTGATACCCGGATGTTTTGATGTTTACCATCCTTGTGGGAGGCTTCTCTCATGTCCCTGCATAGGGAGCTGGAGCTGGAGCTGACAGAGGGAGCTCAACCCGCTCTCCCCGGATTTGAACTGCTGACTTGTCAGTCAGCAGATCTGCCGGCACAAGGGTTTAACCCATTGTACCACTGGAGGCTCTCCCTGATAGCTATTTTTTTGTCGTGTCAGGAGCAACTTGAGAAACTGCAAGTCGCTTCTGGTGTGAGAGAATTGGCCGTCTGCAAGGACGTTGCCCAGGGGACGCCAGGATGATTTGATGTTTTTATCATCCTTGCGGGAGGCTTCTCTCATGTCCCCGCATGAGGAGCTGGAGCTGAGAGAGGGAGCTCATCCGCCTCTCCCCAGATTCAAACCTGTGACCTGTTGGTCTTCAGTCCTGATGGCACAGGGGTTTAACCCACTATGCCACCGGGGGCTCCTCCCTGATAGCTGTCTCACTGTTATTAGCCTTTTCTAATTTGATAGCCTCCAGTGATATGTGAGCAACCTAGAGACTAAGGAACAGAGAATAGTTGCTCTGATGGCAATATTATCTTTCCACAGAATTTATCCAGCCTGTTTGCCTTCCAGCACTGGGACAACCTCTGGTCGATGGTAAGAGCTGTACTGTTACTGGCTGGGGCAACACACAGTATTATGGTAAGCACTAGCTGCTGTTTACTTACACATGAAATATGTCAGCAAGTCTTGCTAACTATGATGGTTGGGACTAGGTGTGTTCCACAGTCTAGTTGTGCGAATACAGAATTTTTCCTGAGTGGTTCAATTCACGCAAAAGACCCAGACATCTTTCTTCAAATAGTAATTATAAAGATAATTTTCCATTCCTAAAAGCAAAGTTGGCTTATTTGGGTCAAGCTTACCAAAATATGCAAAGGGAGCTCTAAACAGTACTACAAGACAGGAGGTTGGGTATGAGTAACCTTCATTATTTTAGATCTAATTTGTGGCCAGAACAATAAGAAAGCAAAACAATACATTCAAGGTTTGATTATTGTTTTCCAATGTATGTAGGTTGCAATCTTTGGCTTGTTTTTGTATAGTTCAAGTTCACTTTATTATTATCAGTGACCAGCTCTGGTATATTTTTCTGCACATAAATGTGTCTGTCAGTCTGCCTCTGTCCATCCCACAATCCATGTATTCATCCATGTAATATGTACATTTCAAGTTGCAGGCATGGGGGGGGGGGTACAAAGTTATGTTCCAGTTGCAGCATTCCCTTTGAGCATGCTGGACCTGGCATTACGTTGCTCACGAGCATGGATGGTATTCAAATATTTCATAATTTTCTTAATCACAGATGATTCTTGTGGAATTCACTCTCAGCTTTGAAGAAGGGTAGCATACTTATTATTCAAATACTTTGCCGAAAGTAGCTCAGCTTGTTGAATGTTAGCCTGAAGTCCCCTACATTTATCTTGGGCTTTGGTAGGTAAAGGTAAAGGTTTTCCCCTGGCATTAAGTCCAGTCATGTCTGAATCTGAGGGTTGGTGCTCATCCACATTTCTAAGCCAAAGAGCTAGTGTTGTCCGTAGATACCTCCAAGGTCATGTGGACGGCATGACTGCATGGAGCGCCACTTTGGTAAGGTTACTGGGTTTTGAGAGTTGTAATCCTTTGGAAAAATGAACACAGCTCTTGACTCCCATGATATGCTATGATAAGCTTCTATTTCCTGCTAAGTGAAGATCCTACAGTTTTTGTGGAGATGGACCATCATTTCCAGAAAATCCCATATTCAGTCCTAGTTGTTTTTTCTGCTAATAGTTTCTAGTATTAGGTGATGGGAGAGCTCTCACCACCTGAGAGGGCTGATCTCTCAAGTTAAAGTAAGGCAGAGAGAGATGATTGCTTAGACGTAGTGACAAAGTGCTAAAGGAGAAAATTCAATGTCATGTGGCCTGCCTGTACACAGGCAATTGAAGAGCTTGCCCTCTCAGCTTGTGCTGAAGTAATATTCTACTGCCAGTCTGATCAGCACATGTGTATGGAATGAAATAGTATGCCTATTTTTTCTGCCATGAACCATCTTGGATTGGCAGTAGGGAGACACTGCTGGATAACACAGGAAAAGCTGCAAGAGAGGGAAGAGTTTAGGCATGTGGAATCGACTCCCCTTGTTAAACTCTGGGATCCAGCCAGTTTCAAAAAAATGGAAGCTTAGGAACGAAAGGCCTCCAAACTCAATTTTGGTCTAGGCATAAATTTACCAGAGCTTGGAACATTATTGTTAATCATGTTACTCATTAATGTTATTGAATGTGTTCATACTATTCAGTTAGTCATCATCAACTATCACTCGTGTCCAAGTAGGATGGCCTTCCAAGCATAAGGTCTTTGTGGTGAGTCTATAGGTGACCGTGGAGACCTATTCTTGACCCACATGTTCTTCCACAGTGAGGACATTGGTTTCCAGGCTGTCCTGGTCAGGGTTGGCTAGAACCACATTCCTCTTGACACATTTCTCTCTTTTGCCCTACATTTGTGCCTCTTTGAATTCCACAGCATTGTTGGCAATGGCTGACCTCCAGCTAGAGAGCTCAAAGTTCAGGGCTTCCCAGTTCTCAGTGTCTGTGCCACAGTTTTTTAGGTTGGCTGTAAGCCCATCTTTAAATCTCTTTTCTTGTCAACCAACCTTCCATTTTCTGTTCTTCAGTTGGGAGTAGAGTAGAGTAACTGCTTTCAGAGACAGTGATCAGGCATTCAGATAGCGTGGCCAGTCCAGTGGAGGAGTTGATGGTGTAGGAGCATTGCTTCAATGCTGGTGGTCTTTGCTTCTTCCAGAATGCTGACATTTGTCCGTCTGTCTTCCCAAGAGATTTACAGGATTTTTTTGGAGGCAACGCTGATAGAATCATTCCAGGAGTTGAGTGTGACATCTATAGATGGTCCATGTTTCTAAGGCATATAATAGGGTTGGGAGGACAATAGCTTTATAAACAAGCATCTTGGTCTTCCTACAAATGTCCTGATACTCAAACACTTTCTGCTTCATTCAGAAGAGTTCTGCACTTGCAGAGCTCAGACAATGTTGTATTTCAGTGTCAATGCTGGTTTTTGTGAAGCCAAGGTAGTGGAAGTGGTCATCATTTTCTAATATTACACCATTAAGCTGTATTTCTGGCACTGCAGAGGGATTGGCTGGCATCTATTGAAAGAGCTGTTTATGTTCAGTGAGAGGCCAAGATTTTCATATGCTTCTGCAAAGTCATTTAGAGTGGCTTATGGGTGTTCTTCTGAACAAGCACAGATCACATTATCAATCAGCATATTAGAGTTCTATAACATGTTGTTGTGACCTTGGTTTTGGCTTTTGGTCTGCTGAGGTTAAATAGCTTGCCATCTGTCTGATAGATGATTTCCACTCAGGTGGGAAGCTTCCCACTATCAGGGTGCAGAATCATAGCAATGAAGATGGAGAATAAGGTTGGGACAATAACACATTCCTGTTTTACACCTGATTCCAACTTAAACGGGTCACTTTGGGAGCTATTGCTGTCCAAGACTGTTGCCTTGCATTCATCAAGCCCCGCACATCACATGATGTGTTCTGCATACAAGTTGAATAGGTTGGGGGAGAGTATACAACCCTGCCATACGCCTTTGCCAATCTCGAACCAGTCTGTTGTTCCATGGTCAGTTCTTACTGTTGCTACTTGGTCCTTATACAGATTCCTCAGGAGAGAGATAAGGTGGCTTGGTATGCCCATACCGCCAAGAACTTGCCACAATTTATTATGATCTACACAGTCAAAGACTTTATAATAGTCAATAGTACAGGTATTGGCTGTTAGGAATTGTGGGAGTTGAAGTCCAAAACACCTGGAGGGCCAAAATTTGCCCATGCCTGAGTTAATAGCATGTTGCTTTCTAGATGGTTTACTTAAAAAATCTCTTAATGCTGAAATGGCCAAAGATTTCCCCATTTCATTTCAAGTTTTTGGAAGAAGGAAGATGAAACATAAGTTGTTACATAGAAAAAAGCAATGATGTTACACATTGCCTAAGCTCTTTTGTAAAAATGTATCATTATGATCTTGTTCAATGTATTGTCTTGTTCAATGTATGATCTTGTTATCTTTGAGCTCTGTCACATATTACTATAATTTTTAGTACAAAACCTGAAGCTAAAGCTAACTTACACAAATCTATTCTTGATGCTTCTCCACTTCATCAAGTTTTTTTTAATGACAGAATAGGTGAAATAGCTGGTGTCTGGTGACTCTGATGTCAGTGGAGTGGTGAGCCTCAGGAGCTCTCCAGAGTGATGAATTTGAGCTCACAAAATAGGTCCCATGCCTTGGATTACTTGCTAAACCTCTGGGGGATGGGTATCCCTATTTGTTTGCTTGATTATTTACTTATTAAATCATCTCAATTTATCTTCAGCCTGTTCTTGCAGTTCTGAACCTGTTGGATTAATAGACCTGTTAGAACTTCTTATAATCCCCAGTCTTTCCTCTTACACAGGCCAACAGTCGGATGTGCTGCAAGAGGCCAGTGTGCCCATCATTAGTAGCAGTGTCTGCAACAGTCCTGAGTACTACAACAATCAGATCAGGCCACGGATGTTCTGTGCTGGCTTTGCTGCTGGGGGCACAGATGCCTGCCAGGTGGGTGGTATGACTGCCATAGTGCCTGTACCTTGGGAAGTCTGACTTGGCCACGGTAGTCCACACTCTGGTTACATCCCATATAGACTACTGCAATGTGCTCTATGTGGGGTTGTCTTTGAAAACTGTTTGGAAGCTTCAAATGATCCAGTGGGTGGCAGCCAGGCTACTAACAGGAGCAGCGCTCAGGGAGCATCCAACTCTGCTGTTGCGCCAGCTCCACTGGCTGCCAGTTTGTTACTGGGCACAATTGAAAGTGCTGGCTTTAGCCTATAAAGCCCTAAACAGTTCCAGCCCAACTTACCTATCCGAACGTGTCTCCCCTTACGAACCTTCCAAGAATTTAAGATCATCTGGGGAGGCCCTGCTCTCGATCCCGCCTGCCTCACAGACGCACTTGGCAGGGACAAGAGACAGGGCCTTCTCAGTGGTGGCCCCTCAGCTGTGGATCTCCCTCCCTGAGGATATTAGATCGACCCCCTCTCTCCTGACTTTTAGGAAAAAAGTGAAAACTTGGCTCTTTGAGCAAGCTTTTGGAACCTCATTGTAACCAGACAAACTCAGTTATGTGAGGAATATAGAATGGCTTAACAATGCAAATGATTACGGATTTAATATCCAGAAATCATTGATTTTTATAATTTAAAATTGTTTTTATATGAATTTTATTATGTGATTTAACCTGTTTTAAATGATGTAGTTATGTGTGTTCGGCATCTAATTGTTGCCAGTCTGTATGCCGCCTTGAGTCGCCTGTGGACTGAAAAGTGTGGGATAAAAGTGTGGTAAATAAATAAATAGTTGGGCTGGTCTAGAGGAGACAGTGGCACTAGGGGAGACTGAAACTTCTCCTTTTTTTCATGTGACAGGGTGACAGTGGCGGACCTTTTGTGTGTGAAGATAGCATCTCCCAAAGTTCACGTTGGCGGCTCTGTGGCATTGTGAGCTGGGGTACAGGATGTGCCCTGCCCAATAAGCCCGGTGTTTACACCAAGGTCAATGACTTCCAAGGCTGGATCATCCATGCCATGAAGGTAAAGGGAATGTAGGTATGGTTTTTTCTAAAAGGGGAGCTGTGTAGCTCAGTTCCAGCAAGGAAACCATGTGCCACCTTTTCCATGAGTAAATATATACTGGTATTGACTTTTGTGGACCTGGGCTCATTTAATCAGGTAAGGAAAGTGGCTGACATGGGAGGATGATTGGTCACCTTATCTCATGGGCAGGTTTTTGGCTAGTGTTCAGGAAACAAAACAGGCAAGGCTGGGGGAGATTGGGTGGCTCTGGGCAGATGCATACATCCCTGGCTTTGAGAATTTGATTGCCATGAAGGTTTAGTGGTGATGCTTTATGGGTTTTTTTCATGTCAGGAGCAATTTGAGAAACTGCAAGTCACTTCTGATGTGAGAGAATTGGCCATCTGCAAGGACGTTGCCCAGGGGACACCCAGATTTTACCATCCTCTGGGAGGTTTCTCTCATGTCCTCACATGAGAAGCTGGAGCTGACAGATGGGAGCTCCCTGCTCCCAGGATTTGAACTGCCAACTTTTCGGTCAGCAGTCCTGCTGGCACAGGGGTTTAACCCACTGTGCCACTGGGAGCTCCTCTTATGATAAAGAGCCTAGTTTCTGACCAGGGTATTACCTGACACTGTGAAGTATGTGGCTGTATAGTATATTTCCCCGAATAATCTGTTAACTTCTGTATGTTATCTATTTAACAGATTGTTCTTGTTGTTGCAACTCTTATGATAACTGTTACTGCCATATTTTGCCCTGACATCAATCCATTTGAAAGGGAAATAGCATTAGTTGACAGCTCTTGATGGCTCAAGTTATCTGCCATTCAACCTACACACAATACCCCTGAAAGGCTCTATGGAGCCCACTGTTTTAATTTTCCCTGGAGCCACTGATTAGAAGGACTCCATCCCCGATTTTTAAAATATTGCCATTTTGGACTACAGCTTTCGGACTGTATAATCTAGCATGGGTTCTGGAAGCTGTAGTCTGAAAAAGTAACTTTTCCAAGCTGTGGTCTAGTTTGAAAGCTGTTTGGTGGCTGCCCATCTGCTACCGAGCACAATTCAAAATTCTGGCTTTAGCCTAAAAAGCCCTAAATAGTTTTGGCACAACTTATCTGTCCGAACACACCTCCGTCTATGAACCAACTTAGAGGTTAAGATCATCTGGGGAAGCCCTGCTACCCTTTCGCATGGCTGGTGGGGATGAGAGACAGTGCCTTCTCAGTAGTGGCCCCTTGGTTATGGAACTCCCTCCCCAGCAAAATCATGTCAGCTTCCTCCTTCCTGACATCGGAAAGCATTGAAAACATGGCTTTGGGACCAAGCCTTTGGCGAATAGTGCAGTGCAATAAGTGATGATGGAAAATGTGCAGTGACAATTGGAATGATTTTTTGACTACAATCTCAGATTGCGTGATTTTAATAATGTGTTTTAATCTTTATAGGATTTTAAATTCACTTTTTGATGTATATGTTTATTTTATGTCTGTTGTGTATATGAAATCGAATTATTGCCTTTGAAAGGCTGCCCTGAGTCCCCTTCAGGGTTGAGAAGGGTGGGATATAAATACTGTAAATAATAATTAATAAGTAATACAGCATTTCTCAACCTGGGAGTTGGGACTCCGGGGGAGGGGGGGGATCGCGAGGGGGGTGTCAGAGGGGTAGCCAAAGACCATCAGAAAACACAGTATTTTCTGTTGGTTATGTGGGTTCTGTATGGGACGTCTGACCCAATTCTATTGTTGATGAGGTTCAGAATGCTCTTTGTAGGTGAACTATAAATACCAGCAACTACAACTCCCAAATATCAAGATCTATTTTCCCCAAACTCCACCAGTGTGCACATTTGGACAGATTGCATATTCGTGCTAAGTTTGGTCAGATCCATCATTGTTTGAGTCCACAGTTTTCTGGATGTAGGTGAACTACAACTCCCAAACTCAAGGTCAATGCCCACCAAACCCTTCCAGTTTTTCTGTTGGTCACGGGAGTCCTGTGTGCCATGTTTGGTTCAACGCCATCATTGGTGGAGTTCAGAATGCTCTTTGATTGTAGGTGAATTATAAATCCCAGCAATTACAACTCCCAAATGACAAAAACAATCCCTCCCCCACCCCACCAGCATTCAAATTTGGGTGTATCGGGTATTTGTGCCAAATTTGGTCCAGTGAATGAAAATCCATCCTGCATATCAGATATTAACACTACGATTCATAACAGTAGCAAAATTACAGTTATTTATTTATTTATAACATTTATATGCTGCCCTTTTCACCCTATATATATCTTGTAAAATGCTCTAAGTCCCCTTCAGGGTGAGAAGGGCGGCATACACACACACACACACACACACACACACACACACACACACACATACACACATACAAACAATATATTATATGTTAGAGTGTAGGGAGAGTGTTGTGGAACACTCTCCCTACAGACATCAGGCAGGCGCCCTCTCTTTTGTCCTTCCGAAAAAGCCTCAAGACGTGGCTGTTCGAGAGGGCATTTAATTAAGTGCTATAGTAATGTGGTAAAGACGACTGGAATGGTACAAGGAATACGAGATTGGTCACGATTCTATTACGAGACGAAGCGGATTAGTTAGTGTAATTTTAACTGTTGTATTGTTGTATGGTTAATATGCTGTTGTACTTGTCTTTGTGTGAATTGCCTTTTGTACTGTACACCGCCGTGAGTCGCCCGAGTGGGCTGAGAATGGCGGTTAATAAATGCTCCAAATAAATAAATAAATAATAAATAGCTATAAAAGGTAGGTTGTCCCCTGACATTAAGTCCAGTCATGTCTGACTCTGGGGTGTGGTGCTCATCTCCATTTCTAAGCCGAAGAGCCGGCATTGTCCATAGACACCTCCAAGGTCATGTGGCCGGCATGACTGCATGGAGTGCCGTTACCTTCCCACCGGAGTGGTACCTATTGATCTACTCACATTTGCATGTTTTTGAACTGCTAGGTTGGCAGAAGCTAGTGCTGACAGCGGAAGCTTATGCCACTCCCCGGAATCGAATGTGCGACCTTTCGGTCAACAAGCTCAGCAGCTCAGCGCTTTAACCCACTGCGCCACCGGGGGCACCTAGCATAGTACAATATCAGTATTAAATATTATTATATTGTACTTTACCATTATATTGTAATATTATTAGTAATATTACATGTAATATAAATATATAATTATAATATCATATTATTAGTAGTATTATATTGCATTATATTATAATATTATAAATAATATATGTATATACAATATCTTATATTAAATTATGTTATATTATGTTATTAGCATAGCACAGGAGACCCGGTGGCCCCCTCTCTCTTCACTCTGGCTCAGAGCAGCAGTTGGTCCCCAACTGATGACATATGAAGTAGCAACGAAAATAATTTTATGGTTGGAGGTCACCACAACATGAGGACCTGTATTTAGGGGTTGCAGCATGAGGAAGGTTGAGAAACACTGAACTAGTACATTGTGGTGGAAGGGCATAATGGCTATTGGTAACCCTCTTTCTCAGTGCCATTCATTCTCTTCCATCCTCTCAACCGAATTCTGTGGCCAATGAGAGAATTCTCAAGCTATCCATCTCTTGTTTTCTTCCTGCAGTCTCACTCCCACTCCAGCGGGATGGTGATCCAGTACTGAAGCCACAGAAAGTGTGACAATGAGCCACGGCTGCTCCAGCCTCCTTCCCTTTCAGTGAGATGTTGCTGCTTTAAAAAGAAAAAAAAAAGCCAAACCAGAGAAAACAACATTTGCAAGGGAACAAACACAGGCACCTGTTGGACTGTACTTTGGACTGGCTCAGTGTTACAGAAATGAACCAAGGGAGTCCTTGCCAACTGGCAGTCATCGTGCTTTGCCAGCCTTTGCAGTATCTCTCACTCTACTGATAAGAAACTTCTGCTGCTGTATTTTTGTCTCATGAATGGTGCTTCTCGTCCTTTAACTGCTCAACTATGAATGAATTTCCACCCTGCATCTCAGGACACTTTGGGCTGGTTAATATGAGGCTGTTTTGGATGCAAAGATTGGCCTAGCTCACTCTCAGATTGCATGACAAGTGCACTTGGAATTAAGGTTCTGAAAAATATGGTTTATAAAAATATGGCATTGCAGTTCCCTTTTTGAAAGTGAAGACACAGATTGGAAGCTGGGTTGTTGTAGGTTTTTCGGGCTTTATGGCCATGTTCTAGAAGCATTCTCTCCTGACGTTTTGCTTGCATCTATGGCACGCATCCTCAGATTAGATTAATGCATACATCCCCAGAAAATCTTGACAGTCCTTCTGAGAAAAGAAGGAAACCCTCACAAAAGTGATTCTCATCACCCAAAGATTTGTTTTCAGGGTTTATGACTACTGGGTCTCATTTTCCAAATATCTGTAGATTTCTTTTCGTATCAGGAGTGACTTGAGAAACTGTGAGAGAATTGGCCGCCTGCAAGGGTGTTGCTCAGGGGATCCCCGGATGTTTTGATGTTTTACCATCCTAGTGGGAGGCTTCTCTCATGTCACCACACAGGGAGCTGGAGATGACAGAGGGAGCTCATCCACGCTCTTCCCAGATTCGAACCTTTGACCTGTTGGTTTTCAGTCCTGCTGGCACAAGGGTTTAATCCATTGCGCTACCAAGGGCTCTATCTGTAGATGATTGGCTGTAAGAAGATAATTGGCACTAACCTAAGGGAGGCTGCTGAAGTGGCCTCTCCATCCTTTTTTCTCTGCACCCTTTTTTGTGTAGGTGTTTTTAAAAAAAGAGGTAGAGACAGAGAATAGAATAAGGTATTTCATATCATGAGTAATGGCCTAAAGGAAGAGATTCACAATCTGGAGAGGATAACAGTTGGAAAAGGAAATCATGAAGTATGTTAAGGATGCTTGTTAGGAAATAGATCTAGAACACCATGTGATGGAACTGTTTGAGCCTACAGTGACAAATAAAAGTGGATCCTGTTGGAACTAATGTTGGATCCATGCTCCAAAGTGTTCCGCTTTTGATTCTGGTGGGTCGAAAGGCAATGGTCAGGGGAGATTATTCCTATAGATACATTTCCAGAGCTTGGAAACACCACATTTGGGGGGTAGAATTCCAAAAATCCTCTTGCCATCCCAACTAGCTTCTTGGTCATGGCCATACAACTCGGAAAACTAACAGCAACCCAGTGATTCCGGCCATGAAAGCCTCCGATTACACACCCAATTATCGTTAGGATCTTGTTTTCCTCTGAATAGGCAAAATGCAGCAGAAGGAGATGTGATAAGTTATTTACATCTACTTGTTTAATCTTATCTCTAGGATAGCTACTACGAGGGTTGAATAAATAGTAATGCCTCCACTTTAGTAACTCCTCAACAGATGGTAGTACCGGTATGCGGCAGGTACTGGCTTGTACAGTAGACTCTCCTCTACAGTTCCATTTTGGTGGGAAGCCTTCGCATTGAACGGTTATGTTGTTAAAATGCAAAGTATGGAACCCTGCGCAGACGGTTGGTCCATGCGACTTAAGCAACGTGCAGTAATTTAATTCTTGACAGCAGTAGGTGTCACCCCAAATTTCAAGCATAATAGGCATTTCACAAGAACGTGTGGGTCACATTAATGCTTTGCTTGGCTATCGGAAGATCTGTGCATGATGGGTACCCAGAATGCTGACGCCTGAAATGAAAACGCAGACTTCTTCCATGACGGCTTCAGAAAACTTGTTCATTGTTGGCAGGAATGTATCCAATTGTTTGGTGATTATGTGGAAAAGTAAATAGTGGTAGTTAAAGAGCACATCCTAAGGGTTATTTCTGCATTTGATTTATTAAAATATTCCCATCCAAATCCAAGTAACGAAGGTGGAGGCATTACTTTTCATTCAACCATAGTATTTTAAGTTCATTGGGTGGGGATTATTTTGAATCTTTTAGTGTTTCAATGGAGCCTTCAGGAGTTTTGCTTGTGTGCTGCTATGACTTGTGCGTTCAGGAGCTGTTGTTTGTGTGTTGTCTTCAAGTCTGAAAAAGGGAGCAACAACTCAGATCAAATCGTCAGATGCCCCAATCTAAGATGGGGATGGGGAGTAATAATACACTTTATTTATACTCCCCCCTTCTCCCCTAGGGGACTCAGCGCAGATTACAGCGTTTCTGCTCTCAGCGTTTACATACAAAGACAAACATTCAATGTCTGTACAATCATATACAATGAGACGCACAAACACAAACAAAGGCAGAGGCTTCTCCTTTCATTTCTAGCTTCTGGAGGTGCCAACCTGAACTTGGCTGAACTCCTGACCTGAAGGTTTGCAATTCATACCTGTGAGATGGGGTGAGCTCCCAACTGTCAGCTCCAGTTCCTGCCAACCTAGCAGTCCAAAAACATGCAAATATGAGTAGATAAATATGTACTGTTGTTGAAGGATTTCATGGCTCGAATCACTGGGTTGCTGTAAGTTTTTTGGACCGTATGGACATGTTCCAGGAGCATTCTCTCCTGATGTTTCACCTGCATCTATAGCAGGCATCCTCAGAGGTTATGAGGTCTGTTGGAAACTAGGAAAATGGGGTTTATATATCTGTGGAATGTGCAGAGTGGGAGAAAGAACTCTTGTCTGTTGGAGGTAGGTGTGAATATGTATTGTCAAAAGCTTTCATGGCTGGAATCACTGGGTCAGTGGTTCTCAACCTGTGGGTCCCCAGATGTTTTGGACTTCAAATCCCAGAAATCCTAACAGCTGGTAAACACCTGGGGACCCACAGGTTGAGAACCACTGCACTGGGTTGTTATAGGTTTTTCGGGCTATATGGCCATGTTCTAGACCAGTGGTTCTCAACCTGTGGGTCCCCAGATGTTTTTGGCCTACAACTCCCAGAAATCCTAGCCAGTTTACCAGCTGTTAGGATTTCTGGGAGTTGAAGGCCAAAAACATTTGGGGACCCTAGGTTGAGAACCACTGTTCTAGAAGCATTATCTCCTGACGTTTTGCCTGCATCTGTGGCAAGCATCCTCACAAAAGCTACAACAACATAGGTGTGAATGTTTCAATTGGTCACCTTGATTAGCATTTAATGACCCAGCAGTTTTTAAGGTGTGACTTCATACTGCCTGGGGACATCCTTTGTTGAGAGGTGATTAGGTGTCCCTGATTATTTCTTGTCTGGAGCTCCCCTGTTTTTATTTACTGTTTTGATTTTAGATTTTTTTAAATACCGAATCTAATCCCCATTTAAATTTTTCATTATGCCTCAGGGTATATTGAGGTGCCATCGGAATTTTACAAGGCAGTTCCTCCATCCGTGAAGCACCATTCAGAGTGAAATGGTACACTGGAAATATATATGAAGAAAAGGCAGATATAAGTAGATGTTTTTGCAAATCCCAACCACATGAACAACCATTTAGATTGTCCTAAAGCATATTTATGTACACTTGCACAAACTTTTCCACCTATTGATTTCCTGAAAAAGTCATGTGTTCTTGGCTGGGCTAATCAGATATGTTTGATGTTTGCTGACCAAACATACTAAATGTTCCTTTCCCCCCAGATATGGCAGAGGTCAATATCTACCTGGGGCTAGGAAGCACCCCAGAACATTCCTTTTATTATGTCATTTTGTTGTGTAAATAGATTACTGTATTGGCTCTCTGCTGTCTTATGTGACCATGGATCAGTGCACTCAGATTGTATATATTTGCATAATTTTGATGATTTCAATAAATTAAACTTGTTTTGATTATAGATGGAGTTTTCAAAGGTGTCCACTATTGCATTGCCGGAAGAAGGGGTGTTTCACTACAAGAGCAGTGCCACAGAGCAGGTCTAATTTATCTGTTTTGAGAAATTAAGGGAAATTATCAGGGAATACCAAGGGCTCTTGGATGGTAACACCTTGAAATTCTGGAGAGTTGCTGCAAGTTAACAATAGTGGACAGAATGAACTTGGCACAAGTCAGCTTACTAAAAGAACATTAATTGGAATCCTGTTACTTACATGGACTAATATAACCAAATGTTACATAAGCAGTACGTGCTTTGACTTTCACATGGAGTCTTTTAATATCTCATTGTACTTATACTTATTTGCTTACTTACTTAGGCGATCCCTTGTAGCCCGAGGATGATGGTTCTCCAAGTGTAGTGTCTTGGTGGTGGGTCCGTAGGTGGCTGCAGAGCCCTATTCCTGATCCGCATGTTCTCCCACAGTTAGGACATTGGTTTCCAAGTGGAAGGCGGTCCCGGTCAGGGTTGACTTGATGCGTCTTTCTCTTGGTACGTTTTCCCTTTCACCCTCCATTCATGCCTCTTCAAATTCTGCAGCACTGCTGATCACAACTGACCTCCAGTTAGAGTGCTCAAGGACCAGGGCTTCCCAGTTCTCAGTGTCTATGCCACAGTTTTTAAGGTTGGGTTTAAGCCCATCTTTAAATCTCTTTTCCTGTCCACTAACATTATGTTTCCTGTTCTTGAGTTGGGAGTAGAGTAACCGTTTTGGGAGATGGTGATTGGGCATTTGGACAATGTGGCCAGTCCAGTGGAGTTGATGGTGTAGGAGCATCGTTTCAATGCTAGTGGTCTTTGCTTCTTCCAGCATGCGGACATTTGTCTGCCTGTCTTCCTGAGAAATTCGCAGGATTTTTCGGAGGCAACACTGATTGAATCATTCTAAGATTTGAGTGTGATGGTTGTAGACAGTCCATGTTTTGCAAGCATGGACTGTCTACAGACTTTACACTCAACTCCTGGAACACATCTCACATCTCATTGTACAATGCAATACAGAGTATGCTTGTATTCCATGTATTATTTAGTAGCTAGAGGAAGAGAATGGAGAGTTCGTCCGGGCAGTGTCTGCCTGCAGTTCTGCAGCTGGAAGGAAAAGCAGCTGTTGACCTCATACATCTCCAGAGTTGGTAGGTGTGGTGGCTGGTGCTTTCTCATAGCTTTAGAGGTGCCTTTGGGTGCTATTTGGGTGCATCCTACTCTTCCCTGGCCTCTTAAAGGAGTGCATGCAAGAACTAAGAAGCTGTCTTTTGTGGGAGGTGGGAAAGGGACAGATAAGAAGTCCCCAAAGTACACTTGCAAAGTTTTATGCTTTGTAGACATCATATAGGATCTATAGGATCACAGACAGGAGTCCCCGGTGGCGCAGTGGGTTAAACCCCTGTGCTGGCAGGACTGAAGACCGACAGGTTGCAGGTTCGAATCTGGGGAGAGGCAGATGAGCTCCCTCTATCAACTTCAGCTCCTCATGCGGGGACACGAGAGAAGCCTCCCACAAGGATGGTAAAACATCAAATCATCCGGGCGTCCCCTGGGCAACGTCCTTGCAGACAGCCAATTCTCTCACACCAGAAGCGACTTGCAGTTTCTCAAGTCGCTCCTGACACACACACACACAAAACAGCCAGCGATTTCCATACCTGTACATGCCAGTTTATAGCAATGGAGTACATGAGGTTAGGACTTGAATCCCACCTCTACCAGGAAAACCTTGGTTGGGTCACACATTCTCTCCCAAAAAATCAAGTACATAATGACTAGAGAAACACAACGGAAAATACTGACTAAATGGTATAGAACCCCAATTAAACTAGCTCATATAACTAAATCAACCACAAAGTTGTATTGGCACAGATGTGGAGAAATTGGCACCTATATGCATATGTGGTGGGAATGTGACAAAGTACAAATTTTTTATAACAAGGTAAAGAAAGCAATGGAAGAATTAATAGGGTGGAAATTATATAATACATGACAGCCGCCACCCAAGCAACTGTGGCCTTGGGTTGGAAAGGCATAGAAAATTGAAAGTTAATTTTTTAAAAATATCTAGCAGACTTCATGTTCCAGGACTACATCCTTGAAAGGAGAACTAAATACACATCTGGTCGAATCAAGAAGAACTGGAATCTGAAATGGGGAAGATAAAGTCAAAGGAAAAGGAAAATATACAGAATTGAACCATATTCTCAACATGATTGATCAATTAAAATAATATTTGAATGAAGGAAAGTACTCTTCCTGGAGAGTGGGGGAGAGGAGGAAGGAGGGGAGAAATATTGAAAGACACAGGTGGGAGATAAATGTGGAATCAGCAATGTTACAACAGTCTGTATGTATTTTGAAATGGTGACTGATTTTGATATTATTCTTTCTGTGTTTACAATAAAAACATTTAAAAAACCAAAAGCAATAATATGCTAACTGACACAGAAGCAAATTTTGGAAATAATTGCTGTCCTATAAATAGTAATAAAATACTCCTCATCCTGTGTGAAAGACTGCGAAACAGCTTGACTCAGTCTCTTGTCCAGGAGCTGAGCACTGATGGAGTGCTTTAACGATTATGGCAACCAGACACATTGATACCTGGCAAATAGAGGGAGAAAACGTGGAGGCAGTGACAGGCTTTGTATTTCTAGGTGCAAAGATTACTACAGACGTAAACTGCAGCCAGGAAATAGAAGATGTTTACTTCTTGGGAGGAGAGCAATGACCAATCTCGATAAAATATTGAAGAGTAGAGATATCACACTGGCAATGAAGATCCACATAGTCAAAGCAATGGTATTCCCCATAGTAACCTATGGATGTGAGAGTTGGACCATAAGGAAGGCTGAGCCAAGGAAGATAAATGCTTTTGAACTGTGGTGTAGAGCAAAATTCTGAGAGTGCCTTGGACCCCAAGAAGATCCAGCCAGTCTACTCTCCAGGAAATAATGCCCGACTGCTCATTGGAGGGATGGATATTAGAGGCAAAGATGAAGGCCTTTGGCCACATAATGAGGAGACAGGAAAGCTTGGAGAAAACGATGGGAGGGAAAATGGAAGGAAAAAGGAAGAGGGGCAGACCAAGGGCAAGATGGATGGATGGTATCCTTGAAGTTACTGGATTGACCTTGAAGGTTATGGGGGTGGCCACGGCCAACAGGGTGCTCTGGAGTGGGCTGGTCCATGAAGTTACGAAGAGTCGGATGCTACTGAATGAATAAGCAACAACAACAACTGGACACCAGTGAAATAACATATGACACAAGAAAATAGGATTGATAATAGAACTAAAGTGAAGACAAAAAGAATAACCGTTTTCTGATCAGAAGAAATGAAGAGGGGACAGCAGAATCATAAGGAATTATGTTTGGATAATTTATGCTACAGATGATAAGATTCAAAGTCATTTTTTTCTCTTTCTACTTTTCTTCATATCCCAAATCGACCCTACATAGTTTTAGGTAAGTTTTTTTTAGATACCCCAATAGACTTTCCATACTTTCCCCCATCTAATTCAACCTTTTAACTTAATTTGTTAAACTGTAATAATTTCTATCTTCTATTTAGTTTGTAAATTAATAAAATCATTTTTTAAAAAAGTATTCTTCCATTTTTATGTTGACCTTTGTGTGTTTTAACTATAGTGTATCTGTTTTTTTAAAAAAATGTAAGCCACTTTAAGTATCATTTTGGAGAAAAGGCAGAATATAGATGATGATGAAACAAACTGCTTCACCAGTGGTCTGCAAGAACTAAAATATGGTCTGTGGCCTCACCGTTACAACAACATTGCAACGAGAGTGACTGGTCTCACGAAACCCTCTTATAGTGCCGAGGCTTATTAAATATGGTTTTCTGTGGGCGAGCAGATGGTGACCACTGGATGGCATATGTTCTGTATCAGAAACTAGAGCTGATGTGGTCTCTCCAATGCAGTTTTCTGAATCAGCACCCCAAATAGAATAATAGAATCAAAGAGTTGGAAGAGACCTCATGGGCCATCCAGTCCAATCCCCTGCCAAGAAGCAGGAACACTGCACTCAAATTACCCCTGACAGATGGCCATCCAGCCCCTGTTTAAAAGCTTCCAAAGAAGGAGCCTCCACCACACTCCGGGGCAGAGAGTTCCACTGCTGAACGGCTCTCACAGTCAGGAAGTTCTTCCTCGTGTTCAGATGGAATCTCCTCTCTTGTAGTTTGAAGCCATTGTTCCATTGCGTCCTAGTCTCCAAGGAAGCAGAAAACAAGCTTGCTCCCTCCTCCCTGTGGCTTCCTCTCACATATTTATACATGGCTATCATATCTCCTCTCAGCCTTCTCTTCTTCAGGCTAAACATGCCCAGCTCCTTAAGCCGCTCCTCATAGGGCTTGTTCTCCAGACTCTTGATCATTTTAGTCGCCCTCCTCTGGACACATTCCAGCTTGTCAATATCTCTCTTGAATTGTGGTGCCCAGAATTGGACACAATATTCCAGGTGTGGTCTAACCAAAGCAGAATAGAGGGGTAGCATTACTTCCCTAGATCTAGACACTAGGCTCCTTTTGATGCAGGCCAAAATCCCATTGGCTTTTTTTTGCCGCCACATCACATTGTTGGCTCATGTTTAACTTGTTGTCCACGAGGACTCCAAGATGTTTTTCACACGTACTGCTCTCGAGCCAGGCATCCCCCATTCTATATCTTTGCATTTCGTTTTTCCTGCCAAAGTGGAGTATCTTGCATTTGTCACTGTTAAACTTCATTTTGTTAGTTTTGGCCCATCTCTCTAATCTGTCAAGATCTTTTTGAATCCTGCTCCTGTCCTCTGGAGTATTGGCTATCCCTCCCAATTTGGTGTCGTCTGCAAACTTGATGATCCTGCCTTCTACCCTTCATCTAAGTCATTAATAAAGATGTTGAACAGGACCGGGCCCAGGACAGAACCCTGCGGCACTCCACTCATCACTTCTTTCCAAGATGAAGAGGAAGCATTGGTGGCATTGGTGGCATGACTTGTTTTTGATAAATCCATGTTGACTATTAGCGATGACCGCATTTGTTTCTAAGTGTTTGCAGACCACTTCCTTAACAATCTTTTCCAGAATCTTGCCTGGTATCGACGTGAGGCTGACCGGACGGTAGTTGTTTGGGTCATCCTTTTTTCCCTTCTTGAAGATTGGGACCACATTGGCCTTCCTCCCGTCTGCTGGAACTTCTCCCGTTTTCCAAGAACTCTCAAAGATGATTGCCAATGGTTCCGAAATGACTTCCGCTAGTTCCTTCAATACTCTTGGGTGTAGTTGATCTGGCCCTGGGGACTTGAACTCATTTAGAGCAGCCAGGTATATAACCAAACCGAATCTAAAGTTCACCAAAAACCGAATCGCAACCCTTTTGGTAACAATGTTGGAGAGTGGTCTATGGTCAAAGTGATCCCTGGCCAAAAAAGGCTGAGAACTACTGCTCTAAAGGCCCGATCCATACTGAGAAACCGCCTTCTGCATGGAACAGCTTCACACAACTATACAAGCAGACTTTTTAGAATGTTTCCTGTAATCTTCATGAATAGGTTAATTGTGTCCTCTTCTTCCTGAACGCTTTCCATTTTATTTAGGTAACTTTGACCTTCTGTCACTTTCTGTCTGAAATGCCCCCCCCCCCACCCTCTCTCACACACACACACTATTGTTTGAGTTGTACATTTATGGGCATGTGATGCCTTGCTTTAATTCATGTTAAAGGGCAGCTGGCATGCTCCTGCAACACAGCAAAGCAAGAGAGAGAGCAAAGATCATAAGCAGTTGATAGCAAAGCGTGGGACGACACACTGAGTTTTGAGGTGAGTCGGGAATCCTTTGGGGTCCCAAAGTATTGGGACATACTATGATAGTAAGTTAAGGAATGTCTTTTCTATATTTTCAGTTTTGTGAAATAGCTCCATGAATGCCAATCCCAAACTCATAGTATCAGAACTGTTCCCAAGCAATGTGTGTGGTGTGTGTAAGTGGAAGTTTCCACCAGGACTGCTGTCCAATTCCTTCTATCCTTATATAATGTTTTCCTTTAATTTAGAGAGATCCTGCATTGACCACAGGTTTACCATTTTAGTGATGGGAAGGAAACTGTTTATCAACTTTTAGTTTGATATCTGATATTATAACTGGTCTGTGTATTTAGAACTTTGCATATTAAGATCTTTTCAGAGCTCCAAAATGGCATTTTTAGACATTTGAAGAGGAATTTTGAATACAACTTTACCCGGTCATGTTTAAGATATTTGCTTAGTTACTAAAAGCAGTGGAAAAGTAAGAAGCAAAAATGCGATTACGTTATGGATAGCATTTCTTAAAAACTTGTCAAAAATATTCTATAATTAATTCCTTCTGTAAATAACTTTCTAGTTTATTTTTCTAACCCATTGCAAGTGATGAGGAAGGGAACCTATCTGAAACTGCCTTAAGGCTGCTGCATGACAAACCTTCTCTTTCTCCTGTGTATACAGCTTTTCCATATCAGATATGTTATATTTTAACTATAAGGGGATCTTGTTCCCCACCATATCATCTTCTGTGAAAACACTGAATTATTTGGAAAATGAATTCCAGATTTTGGATGATGATATCGTGACTGTCACCTATCCAAAGTCAGGTCAGTGTTATGTAATTGCGGACTCTGGAACTAACATTCTTATTGGGGATAATGTGTGTTGCTTAATAATAATAAATAATAAAACTTTATTTGTAGACCTCCCTATCTCCCCGAGGGGACTCAGGTAGTTTCCAACACATATGGAAAACATTCAATGCCTACAAAGAACATATAAACAAATTACAGCAAAATAATTTTGGGAGAGATCATCTGGAGTTTTGGGGTGCGGTGTCATCTGTACGCAGATGATGTCCAACTCTGTTACTCTTTTCCACCTGCTACTAAGGAGGCTGTTCAGGTCCTGAACCGGTGCTTGGCCGCTGTGACGGACTGGATGAGGGACAACAGATTGAAACTAAATCCAGACAAGACAGAGGTACTCCTGGTCAGTCGCAAGGCCGAACAGGGTATAGGGTTACAGCCTGTGCTGGACGGGGTTACACTCCCCCTGAAGGCGCAGGTTCGCAGTTTGGGAGTTCTCCTAGATTCATCGCTGAGCCTGGAGCCCCAGGTTTCGGCGGTGGTCAGGGGAGCTTTCGCACAATTAAAACTTGTGCGCCAGCTGCGCCCGTACCTTGGGAAGTCTGACTTGGCCACGGTGGTCCACGCTTTGGTTACATCCCGCTTAGATTATTCTACATGAGGCTGCCTCTGAAGACTGCCCGGAAGCTGCAGCTAGTCCAACGCTCGGCAGCCAGATTTCTAACGGGGGCTGGGTACAGGGAACATACAACCCCTCTGTTAAGCCAGCTCCACTGGCTGCCGATTAGCTTCCGAGCACAATTCAAAGTGCTGGTTTTGACCTACAAAGCCCTAAACGACTCTGGCCCAGTTTACCTGTCCGAACGGATTCTCCCCTATGAGCCATCAAGGCTATTAAGATCTTCCGGGGGGGCCCTGCTCTCGGTCCCACCACCCTCACGTGCTTGGTGGGGACGAGAGACAGGGCCTTCTCGGTGGTGGCTCCCCGGCTCTGGAACTCCCTTCCACTAGAGATCCGATCTGCCCCCTCCCTCCTGACTTTCAGGAAATTACTAAAGACCTGGCTCTGGAATGTGGCTTTTGAGGACTGAATCTTTAATGAACTGTGACTACGACTACGACTGCGATTGTATTGACGTTTTGGCCTGGGTAATTGTAATGATGATGTTTTATTGTATTTTATTGTGTTGTTTTTAATTCTTAATGATGTTGCACTCGGTTGTATTTGTATACTTTGTAATTGCATATATGCTGTAAACCGACCTGAGTCCCTCGGTTGAGGTGAGAAGGCCGGTATAGAAATCTTCCAAATAAATAAATAAATAAATAAATAAATAAAATGCATCAAGTAATATAAAAACAAACTAATTATAAACTTAACACCAAATGGAATGAAAATTAACCAAGAAATAAGACTTAAATAACCCAAACTGACATAATCATATAGTATAAATTTAACAGGATAAAACATTTAAAACATCTATGACCTTATTAAAAGGTGAGATCGTTCCAACAGCTGACAGACTGAGATCAATTCCAGTATCTAGATAGGTTTTAGCATATCTAGGCAGTGGTAAATATAGAGACATATTAGTCTTCCTCCTCTCCATATGCCAGAGTGCATAGTTTATTTATTATTTATTTATTTGCTTCACTTTTATACCGCATATTCAGCCTTTGGCAGGCGACTCAATGCGGTTCACAGTGCAGTTAAAACACAATAGTACAAAAACCGGGACGACAACGTCGCTCCACCGACAATTAACATCAGACAAACAACCCACAAACAACATATATAACGCCTATTACAGGGCCTCGAAAGAGTCCTGTTGTGTTTTTAGCAACTTTTTAAAGGTGAGGTGGGAGGGAGTTCCAGAGGTGGGGAGTGATTATGGAGAAAGCCCCCTCTCTCGTTCCCACCAGCTGTGTTTGAGACGGGAATGGGACCGAGAGCAGGGTCTCCTCCGCAGATCACAGAGCTCGAGCCGGTTTGTATACAGAGATGTGGTTTTTCAAATAGGGTCGGAACCATTTAGGGCTTTATAGGTAATGTGAGCTTCTGCTGTCAGCCCCATCTTGTGCCAACCTAGCAGTTTGAAAACATGCAAATGTGAGTAGATCAATTGGTACTGCTCTGGCGAGAAGGTAACAGCACACCTTGCAGTCATGCTGGCCACATGACCTTGGAGGTGTCTACGGACAATGCCGGCTCTTCAGCTTAGAAATGGAGATGAGCACCACACCCCTGAGTCAGACACGACTGGACTTAATGTCAGGGGAAAACCTTTACCTTTACCTTAGGTAACGACAAGCAGCAGAAGCAGATTGGCAGCCAGTGGAACTGCTGCAGCATGGGAATCGTCCTCTCACAATATAGTGCTCCAGTTAGTAATCTGGCTGTTGATCTCTTAAATAGTTACAGTTTTCCAACTATCTTAAAAGGCAGCCCCATCTAGAGAGCACTGTAGTAGTCCAAACGGGAAGTAACCAAGGCATGAACTACCATGGCCAGATCTGGCATTTCAAGGTATGGGTGCAGCTGGCACACAAGTTTTAACTGTGCAAAGGCACTCCTGGCCACTGTCGACACCTGAGGTTCCAGGATCAGCGATGAGTCCAGTACCATCCCCAGACTGCAAACCTGTGTCTTCAGGGGGAGTGTAGCCCCATCCCACACCCTGATCCACCTTCTGACTGATCAGCAGTATCTCTCTTTTGTCTGGATTTACCTTCCACTTATTAGCCCTCATTCAGTTCATCACTGATGAGAGGCACTGGTTTAGGGGCAGGATGCCAATTTTAACTTAATTTAAATGTGAAGGGGAAACAAGGATTGTCTCGGATCTCTTTGTGATAAAATTAGAGGATCTCAGCTATCATAGCGTTAGCTGACAAGGCCAACCAAAAACCACAGCACAAGCCCAGACCAATTCTAGTTCTTCTGATTTGTTTCCAGATTTGGAAATTGAGAAAATTACCATGGGACAGTGGTAGGGAGCGGGACTAGGCAAATTGATGGGGGTGTATTGCAGAAATGAAGAGGCCTAGGGAAAAAGTGGTTATTTTATAATCAATTGACTCCTGCCTAGGTACCAACTGGATGTTGGAGATCTTGGGGTTAGTTCAACATGACGGGGACCCATCATGGGTACGCAGTCTAACGCCATGGGATCGGTCACCATGGATTGAGACTGAAGATGGCCTGAAAAAAGCTTTGACAGATTCTCCGCCCAGATGTCTGTCTTCTCACCTACAATTTCAGATTTTCCCCAAGTCCTTCCTCAATTCCAAGGCCAAGGTAGGAGAAGTCATAATGTAAACTTTTATATGTTGTCATGGGGTGCAGTTTTACAAGATCTTTCACCTTCTCTCTTAAAGAATTCTGGTGAATGAGAACTCCCAGGATTTTGTAGCATTGAGCCATGGCAGTTCAAATAGTGTCAATTCAATAGGGTCGAAGCACCCATGGAGTACAGCAGAGATATGGGCTGACTCTGCAGCACCATGATACATCATGTAGACAAGCATGTGGGAGGCTCCTTGATGTGATTCTAGGAGAATATGAAATAATAATATGAAAATAAAGATGTTGGATGCTGGCTATGTCACCCTCTTCAAAGCAACCCTTTTGTTTCTTACAGATTATCTATGTCGTGCGCAACCCCAAAGATGTTCTGGTCTCACATTACCACTTTTCCAAATCTTTTAAAGGATTCCAGGATCCTGGGACTATCGAAGAGTTCTTGGAGACATTTCTGAAAGGAGATGGTATGGAAAGAACCCATCAACTGACATTTTCAGCATAGACGGCAGCAGAGCTGCAATTAATGATCATTGTACTTACTTTCTTTTAGCCAGAATCAGAAATAAGGTCTTGAGACTTGAGAACACAGTTGTGACTCTTGTGTTATTGTTATCTCTTAATGGACGGAATGCAAGAATCTGTTGATTTGTGGGAGAAATTGCTAATGCATTGACTTGGGCAGAAATGAAATGGAATTTAGTGATAGAAATACAAGGTCAGGAGAATCCTAAAACCTATGGCTGCTCCATGTTATGTTGCAATAGTTGGCCTCTTGGAATTTCTCAACCTGGGAGTTGGGACCCCTGGGGGGGGGGTCATGAGGGGTTGTCAGAGAGGTCCAAAGACCACCAGAAAATACAGTATTTTCTGTTGGTCATGGGAGTTCTGTGTGGGAGGTTTTGCCCAATTCTATTGTTGGTGGGTTTCAGAATGCTGTTTGATTGTAGGCGAACTATAAATCCCAGCAACTATAACTCTCAAATGTCAAGACTCTCTTTTCCCCCCCCCCCCCAATGCTCCATCTTTTTGTGGATATTGAGTATTTGTGCCAAGTTTGGTCCAGATCCATCACTGTTTGAGTCCACAGTGCTCTCTGGATGTAGATGAACTACAACTCCAAAACTCAAGGTCAATGCCCACCAAACTTTCCAGTATTTTCTGTTGGTCATGGGAGTTCTGTGTGCCAAGTTTTGTTCAATTCCACTGTTGGTGGAGTTCGGAATGCTCTTTGATTGTAGGTGAACTATAAATCCCAGCAACTACAAGTTCCAAATGACAAAATACATTTCTTTTAGTGATGGTCACTTCTTGGGCTAGTAGGTGTATTTTGTCCAAATTTGGTAGCAATTAGTGTAGTGGTTTTTGAGGTTATGTTAATTCCACAACTAACATTACATTTTTATTTATATAGACTAGCTTGGGTACTCAGCGTTGCCCAGGTTATTTGAAAAAGTAATTTTTAAATTGTACAACATGCATAAGGTTGTGGGTCAACTACAACTCACATGATGTCAGGTTAACCCCCTGAAACCCCATCAGAAGTTGACGTTTGTTGGACAAGTTTGCTCTAGATGTATCATTGTTGTACCTGTTCCATTCCAACACCACAATACTCTCTCATGCATTTGCATTCTATCTTTGTTTCTGCTTTCCTCCTCTAGTGCCATTTGGCTCTTGGTTTGACCATGTGAGAGGCTGGATGGAGTTGAAGGACAGACCCAACTTCTTCTTCTTCACTTATGAAGAGCTGCTGCATGTATGGTTGGAATTCTGGCTATGTTCCTATATCTACTGTACTGCCAATATTCATTTTGGTGAAAAAAATCCTAGTTCCCTATCACAAAAATTTCTGTCCATACACAACCTCCCCTTTTCTCTTCCTAATTATTAAAGAAAAGTTAAATTTAAAGAGTATTTTAGCACATGCAAAATGTTATAACTGCAAATATTATTAAGTGATCAGGGGAGCAGGTGAGAGGCAAAACAGTATTATCGCTTGTCTTTCCTTAGATTGGTATATGAATGCCTTTTTATTTGCTTCTATGTGTTGAGGTCACTTCTCCTTTCCTTGAGAAAGATGACCAATCTCTTTGTCCCCTTTGTCTGAGAAACTGTTCTATGTCTCTCGGGCAGGAGATAGGAAGTGTTCCATTCCCAGTAAGGCTTGCTAGCTTGTACACAAGGTTCAACTACAGATATATATTTTTCCTAATATCTTTAGACGGATTTCTTGGATGGCTACACTATTAATAGAGTGAAGGCAATCACCCATGTTTCTAAAATACACACTCATCTCATTAGACCACTGAATTATTAAGGTACATGGACAATTTCTTGTGGGATCCCTACCGTGTGTTGTGTGTGTTAAGAGAAAAAGACTCATCATGGTAAATTGCAATCCACAGGCTGAGTAATTAGAGTAATTAAGGTCAACAAGTTTGGGCCATTCCTGATGGGGTATAGCTGAGAAATGATTTTGGTCACAAGGTCACAACAATGTCCTTTATAGACAATATGCCGATGATAATGTAGTCTGCGCCTATTCAGAAGACCTACAAACTACTTTAACACCTTTGTAGAAGCATACGAGAAGCTCGGTCTCTCATTGGACATCAAGAAAACCAAAATGCTCTTCCAGCAGTCACCAGCCAGTCCCTCTGCAATGCCAGAAATACAGCTTAATGGTGTAATGTTAGAAAATGTTGACCACTTCCACTACATTGGCAGCCACCTCTCCACAAAAGTCAACATTGACACTGAAATACAACACCACCTGAGCTCTGCGAGTGCAGCATTTTTCCAAATGAAGCAGAGAGTGAAGATTGGGATATCCGTAGGGATACCAAGGTGCTTGTTTATAAAGCTATTGTCCTCCTAACCCTGTTATATGCCTGTGAAACATGGACTGTCTACAGATGACATGTGCAACTTCTGGAACAATTCCATCAGTGTTGCCGCTGAAAAATCCTACAAATCTCTTGGGAAGACAAGCGGACAAATCTCAGCATGCTGGAAGAAGCAGAGACCACCAGCATTGAAGTGATGCTCCTACGCCATCAACTCCGCTGGACTGGACTGCTAATTTTTGAATATACAGAGGGCCAATCTTTTAGAGGTCTGCATGCATCGTCAAACCATAACATGAATTATAAATGACTACATACTAAATATTCCTGCAGTTAGTACCTCTCTTGAACAGATGAAAAGGCCTTGTCCTATAAACTGAAATTCTATGTCCAGTCTCATGTCTATGCTGTTTGGTGATCCCTTGGAACTGTCCTTCCTAGACACAGCTTAGGACAAGATGGCAGATTGAATGTATGAGGCCAAGCTTCTTCTCCTGTTCAACTGACTTGTTTGCCCAACAATAGCAGGCAAGGCAAGAAACATTTTGTTAGCAGTCTCAGTCAATCACCCACCCTGCAAAAATGCTATCATGGAACAAGGGGCAAATGTTTGAGTGGGAATCTGGTGTGAGGCTGAAGATTCCCAGTCTTTCTTACTTACTCTTGTCTTCCCCAGAATCCCCGAGATAGTGTGGAAAAGCTTGGTAAGATCTTTGGAAAGACCCTGAACAGACAGCAGATAGACTCTGTGGTGGAAAATGCATCTTTCCAGAAGATGAAGGATAACAAAATGTCCAACTTCTCTCAGGTGCCAGATGAATATTTTGATCACAACACAGGAAACTTCATGAGAAAAGGTAAAAGCTTAAGTGAAATGGGGAGCATATGGGTATTTGCTTCAACCTGGAGAGTGGCCATTGATATTTTACATCCTAAATTACAGAAGCAGATGGCTTCCCCTTCTTTCCATATAAATAAGATGACTAGACCAGCAACTGAATCTTACTTGTACATTGGCAAGGGTCTTCCATTGAGCCTAAAGTTTGCACTTTGATCTTATGGGTGTAGAGCAGAGGTTCTCAAACTGTGCTCCATGAAGCCCTTGGGGCTCCACAAGAGATAGTCAGAGGCTCCATAGTGCCATGCTGCTTCCTGCCTCCTCCTCTTTCCTCCTCCTCCTGGGAAATGAAGGGAAATTAAAGTCTGGAGCTGCTAAAACAGCAGCAGCAGCGTCTCCCTGGGAAACAGACCCTTTTTCCTCTAGCCCCCTTGTTGCCCAAACTCTTTTCCTTGATGCACAAACCCTTCCCTCTCCTCACCTTCTTTGCTTCCAATACCCTATTTCACTCCCTCCACTCAGGGAGTGTTTTGATTGTGCTTTTCCTGCATGGCAGAAGAGAGTTGAAATGGATGGCCCCTGGGTTTCTGTTGTTGTTGTTGTTGTTGTTGTTGTTGTTGTTGTTGTTGTGTTTAAAAGCAATGCTTTTGGGTCTGCTTCCAGGGGCAAACCAAGAATAGGCAACTTGGAAGTCCCTGAACAGATTCAGAAGTGGAGTGGGCAAATCAAAAGGCAACCTGGCAAAATAGCACTACCTAAAAGAAGCCTCCACCTTGCGTGACTGTGGAGCAGAACAGACAACATCTGTATGCTTGTCTGCAATGTCCTGCCTCATGTACAGAGGAAGAATTGTTTGTACAGAGGAAGAATTGTTTGAGGCTACAGTCAATGTGGTCGCTGTTGTCCGTTTTTGGTCAAAAGATATGTAGCTACTTGTGCTCCTTCTATTTTTATCAGTTTTATACAAATTTATGCAATGCTTTTGATACAAAATAAATAACTTATTATTATTATTATTATTATTATTATTATTATTATTATTATTACAAAGGCTAGGTGGCCATCTCTTAGGGGTGCTTTGATTATACTTTTCCTGCAGGAAGAAGGTGGCTGTACTGGGTGATCCTTGGGGTGGTTCCTGTTACTACTACTACTACTACTATTACTACTACAGAGGCTGGATTGCCATCTGCCAGGGGTGCTTTGTGCTTTTTCTGTATTGCAGTGGTTCCCAACCTTATTTTGGCCAGGGCCCACTCCCCAACATTAGTATCAAACAGGGMAGGGTTGGTCAGCTCTGTGGATAGGAACGGAAATAAAAAAAAAAAAAAGGTTCACAGACTAGATTTTCATTCTCRTGGCCCACTGGTTGAGAACCACTGCTATATAGCATAAAGGGGTTGACTGGGTGGCACCTAGGGCTACTCCTATCATCATCATCATCATCATCATCATCATCTTCATCTTCATCATCATTATTATGCCAAAGGCTGGTTGGTCATCCAYTGAGGGTGCTTTTATTGTGCTTTTCCTCCACGGCAAAAGAGAGTGGGACTGGATGTCCCCTGGGGTCTTCCACTGAAATACTGTTAAGTTTATGTTGGTTAAAATGGTCCTTATTTAAAATATTGTATTGTTCTTCCCCACCCCTCCCCCCCTCCCCCGACACACACTTTTTTTTTTGCACTACGAATGAGATATGTGTAATGTCCACAGGAATTTGTTCATGTGTGTTTCAATTAGTTCCCACAAACACTCTCCACCCATCTGCCACTGGCCAGGCCTGTCTCTCAAATTTAAAAAATGCAATGAGTCTGGACATATTCACATTATATATAATATATACTATAATATATAAACATTTCTTGGGGCTCCATGAGAAACTTTTGCTTCAAAAAGGGCTTCCCGGCTGAATAAGTTTGAGAATCCCTGCTGTAGAGAATGTCATGTGATACACATGGTACAGGTTTTGGACTTGCTTGATGGCCATTTGCTGGTAATGTGATGAGTTGCTGCAAATGAATAGATAGGACTTGGATACGTACAATGTCTCAAGTGTCCTTCAGTACCTGCCATCTTACTTTGCACAATGGTAAGGATGGCCATTTTAAGGCAATTCATTTTAATGCGGTGGTTGCTCTTCTGTGCATTTACTGTTTCTCTTTTTGTTGTTCCAGGAGTCTCCGGGGACTGGAAGAATCACCTAACAGTTGCACAAAGTGAATACTTTGACCGAGTATATCAGGAGAAAATGCAGGATGTAAATGTGACCTTCCAGTGGGATTGAAGAATCCCTGAATGCTCCATCTGCTGCTCTGTTTCCTAATACTATAGGACCATAACCCTATGTATCTCAGTCTAGTGTCATAGTTTTGCATGCTGAAGTAGTTGTCAGCTGTGCATTGCTGATTTCCAGAATTACTCTAGAGTAGTGTTTCTCAAACTATGTTCCTCCAAGTGTTTTGGACTTCAGCTCCCAGAAATTCCTGCCAGGCTATCAGCTGTTAGGAATTGTGGTAGCTGAAGTCCAAAACACTAGGAGGAGCACAATTTGAGAAACTCTGCTCTAGAGCCACTGAAGCTTCTCTGTGGCAATTCAATGGGTGTTCGAGGTCTTGAGTGTCATTGAGATATTGAAAAATCTGTTTGTGTCCCTGTAGTCAGATGTGAAATGATGATATTTGCAGACATCAACAAGATCTTTGGGGGTCATCTAGAGGTCTAAGTGGATGATGTGAACATTTTGCTTCAGGCAATAGCAGCGTTTCTCAACCTAGGGGTCGGGTCAGGGGGTGTCAGAGGGGTCACCAAAGAGGGGTCATGGGGATTTTGTGTGAGAAGTTTGGCCCCATTCTATTGTTGGTGGGATCCAGAATGCTTTTTAATTGTAGATGAACTATAAATCCCAGCAACTACAACTCCCAATTGTCAAGGTTTATTTCCCCAAACTCCACCAGTGTTCACATTTGGGCATATTGAGTATTTGTGCCAAATTTGGTCCATATCTATTGTTGTCTGAGTCCACAGTGTTTTCTGGATGTAGGTGAACTACAACTCCAAAACTCAAGGCCAATGCCCACCAAACCCTTCCAGTATTTTCTGTTGATGATGGGAGTTCTGTATACCAAATTTAGTTCAATTCCATTGTTGGTGGAGTTCAGAATGCTCTTTGATTGTAGGTTAATTATAAATCTCAGCCACTACAAGTCCCAAATGACAAAATCAATCCCCTCCCCCCAATATTCAAATTTGGGATGATTGGGTATTTGTGCCACATTTGGTCCAGTAAATGAAAATACATGCTGCGTATCAGATATTTGCATTACGACTCATAACAGTAGCAAAATTACAGTTATGAAGTAGCAATGAAAGTAATTTTATGGTTGGGGGTCACCACAACATGAGGAACTGTACTAAGAGGTCATTGCATTAGGAAGGTTGAGAAACACTGATCTAGAGGTCTAAGTGGATTATGTGTACATTTTGCTTCAGGCTACAGTGAGATTGTGAGATGCTTCTCTGAACCCCCTTCCAGTTGCCACAGACTGTCTTGAGGTGGGACCTCCAGCAGCAATTTGGCAAATCCATATGGGAGTGACTTTGGTTACTGCAAGAGTGTGAAAAGGAATACCAACTTTTACATCAATTAAAGAAAGATTTACACAGGTGCAAGGTTGAGTTATATTTGCATATGTCACTGTAAGATGGTTTCCAACAGTTGAGGATAAATGGAGTAACTATTAAGAAGCAGAATGGAGAGTTCTATTTTTTTAATGTGAAAATATCTGAACAGTTATTGTGTGATATTGAGAAGCCGAAGGTGGAAGACAATAGCATATACTCAAACCTGCATTGATGTGTTATGAGTAAATTGTAGAACATCTGAAAGATTAGCTTCACTTTCTTCTCATCTGTTAAACTTCTGGCATGGAATGAAAAACCATATAATTCAAATTGGATGTCTTTGTTTATCATTCTTGCTAACTTCCTATTTTCATTGCTCCTCACTGTAAGGTGGATCCAGAAACCATAAGTAATTAGGATATTCTGTTTGATTCCCATGATAGCTGTGGGCTGTGTCACAAGCACATTTTTTTGACATGATAGCCACCCCAAAGGATCTTGCTGGACTATAACTCCCTCATCAACAAAGCCATTGGTAATGGATGGTGGGAGTTGCGGCCTGGGATTTGGTTGACCACATATTCCCCAACTTTCAACTGCAAGAAGCACTTCAAGGTCTTTCACATCTCCTAGGTAAAGGTAGGTAAAGGTTTCCCCCTGACATTAAGTCCAGTCGTGCCCAGTTCTGGGGGTTGATGCTCATCTCCATTACTAAGCCGAAGAGCCGGCGTTGTCTGTAGACACCTCCAAGGTCATGTGGCCAACATGACTGCCTGGAGCAATGTTACCTTCCCACCGGAGCGGTATCTATTAGTCTACTCACATTTGCATGTTTTCGAACTGCTAGGTTGACAGAAACTGGGGCTGACAGCAGAAGCTCACGCTGCTCCCCGGATTCAAACCTGTGGCCTTTCGGTCAACAAGTTTAGCAGCCCAGCATTTTAACTCACTGTGCCACTGGGAGCTCCTTCACATCTCTTACAGTTAGGCAATTTTTTGTAATATTCAGTCCAACTTCCTTTTCATATAACTTGAATCCATTGTTTGAGTCTGTGAGTCATGTGAAGTCCAAATCATGGTTTTATGCCTCTGAGTGAAAGTCTTAGCCTTTCTCATGATCAGTAGGAGCCATGAGAGTTCAAGTCCCTGATGGTCGAGGTTCTGAGAGTATAAGGAAATTTGGTAATGGTTCGGTCCCATTTGTTAAACTGGATAATCCCAGAAGTTCATGAATAAATAAGAGGGACAGGAGTCAGGCAAATCCTTCAGGCCTGGGTGAAGACTCAAAGCATGGGGAGTACAGGTTAGATTGGTCTCAAGCTTTATACATCTTTATTCAGGAAACACTAAGATTAATTAGAAGAGAAACACTGGATCTGTATTTCCAAGAAAATTCTTCTATATTTTCAGTATGCTTCATCACTCATTGTTCAACAGTATGTATATAAAAAAGCCAGCTAGAATCAGTTAAACTTCAGATCTTGGTCCCATGTCGCAGAGCTAGAAATGTTGAGTATGCATGTTGTTGTTGCACTTGGTCAGGAGGGGGCTCCACAGCAACAAGATATTTAGTACTAGTTTAGATGATTACATCAACTCTAATTTCTGCCATGGATGACATTCACAGACACTTTCTCTTGCTACGCTCCCATCTTCCAGCATTTGGAGTTGAAGCATTGTTGGCTCTCCTCAATGAACTCCAAAGGAGTCTCATCCCAACTCTGTATCATCTTCAGATTGTAGATTATACCTCCCTGTGAACATGGAAGGTTGCATCTGGTGTTTCACTTCTGTTTCAAGCCCCCCAACCTCTGCTCCAACGATGCTTCTGGTGTAGTGTCCTGATAATCTCTGGTTTGAGAACCCGCCTCTCTGTATCTCTCCAGTAATGTAGTGATTTCAAATAGGACCATGGTTAAAGGGTCCGTGCCCAGAGAGTATAATATAAACCAGATAGGGCAGGACAGAAAAACAACCTCACCAGGTTGAAGCCCCTTCCCTAGGCTGTCCCTAGGCTGGGACAACGGCAATCCATTCAGAAATCAGTATTCCTTTGTCTCCTTGGAAATCTGGCCCGTCAGCCATTGGAGAGGAGAAATCTGCTTCATAAGCGGGGAAGGTCTCTGATTGGTGGACGGGCCCCACAGTCCCACATCTTCAAGGGAATCCTCCCCAGCTGGACGTGACATCAGCACGACTCTGTCAATCACAGCGAAGCTGACTCCAGCTAGGGTGTAAGCGGGAAATACAAAAGATTTGACTGTATAAAAATGCTTGTTTTTGCTATGTATGGTATCTCAGCTTCCTTTAACAGCTTACCGCAAGCTGTCATCCTTTCCAGCTGGATCGAAATAAAATTACCTTGGTGGTTTCTTCTTCAACTTGGTGAGATTTCCTGATTGGCGAAAATTGGGTTAGCTTATTTGTCTTGCCACGTGCACGGATTCACAGGCGGACCACCAATATGCTGGTATCCCTTTATTGGAACTCAGTATCTGTGGTCTGTGTTTTGTTATCCGCAGCCTGGATGTGACGTTAGCCCTAATCTAAGTTAAGACTCAGATCTTTGGAATGGAATTCCCCTGCTACTTTCCCTGCTGTCTTCCTTCTCTGGCTCCAGCCACACTGCCATTATAACAGAGATTGAACTGCATTATATGGTCAGTATAAATTCATAGCATCCAGTTCAATGCTGTTATATAATACTGCTCAATATGTATTATAATGGCAGTGTAGACGGGGCCTCCACCACACTAATCTGTCTATACTATGTGGAGAGGACGCAAAGGAGCAGAAAAATTAAACTTTACCATCACTATCCTCAAACCCCTTTTGCTGAGGGGGAGATTTCCTCATTCCATTAAATATAAAATTCCTTGCAACTGTTCTTCCAACTGCATTCTCTATGAGCCCATTGCTATCTTTACTGATTCTTCCTGAATATGTGGACAATAATCGGACGGTACAAACTGATCCATTTGTGACTTTAGAAGGATTTTTGTCTAGAAACTTTTTAGAACTTTTAACTTTCACAGAAATATGATGCACCCTAACCCTCCTGCCCCAAGGTGGGATGGTGTGGAACAGAAGAGGAATGCATCCATTTACATCAGTTATATTGGGAAAGGCAGAGTAGTGTACGGAGCATTCAGTTTGGATCTCTTTTTAAATTTCAGAAACCTGAATCGAATTGTCCCAAATTTCTGGTACTTCAGTTTCTCATTGGGAAATGCCGATCTATATAGTGGGTTGTTGTGAGTTTTACGGGCTGTATGGCCATGTTCCAGAAGCATTCTCTCCTGACATTTCACCTGCAACTTTGGCAGGCATCCTCAGAGGCTCTGAGATCTGTTGGAAACTAGGAAAATTGAGTTTATATATCTGAAGAATGTTCAGGGTAGGAGAAAAAGAACTCTTGTCTGTTTGAGGTAGGTGTAAATGTTTTAATTAGCCACCTTGATTAGTATTTAAGGACCAAGCAGTTTCAAGGTCTGACTTCCTACTGCCTGGGGGAATCCTTTCTTGGGATGTGATTAGCTGTTCCTGATTTACCTCCCAACAAAGGATTCCCCCAGGCAGTAAGAAGTGAGACCTTGAAACTGCTAGGCCATTAAAAGCTAATCAAAGTAGCCAATTACAACATTCACACCTACCTCAAACAGACAAGAGTTCTTTCTCCAACTCTGGATATTCCACAGATGTATAAACCCTATTTTCCTAGTTTTCAACAGACCTCACAACATCTGAGGATGTGTGCCACAGATGCAGGCGAAATGTCAGGAGAGAACACAACAAGCCAGTGATTCCAGCCATGAAAACCTTCGACAATATGCTGGTCTATACAGTTTGCAGAAGGAAGAAACTTGCCAATTGTGACTTGTACTGGCATATTCTGACGTGGCAGCAGTGAGAGCCAAGAACTTTTGGGGTGGGTGGAGCAGGTAGGAAAGAAAGCAGATGAAGGTCTGACTGAAGAACATTCTCATAATATGCTCCTAGGAGACAATCTACCTTCAGCCAACATTCATTATAGCTTTCCCCAATTGGGGTTCCTCCTGGCTCTTTTGGACTGCAGTAATCTAATAGTACTTTTAAATTCATAATAGCCATGTATAAATATGTGAGAGGAAGTCATAGGGAGGAGGGAGCAAGCTTGTTTTCTGCTTCCCTGGAGACTAGGATGCGGAACAATGGCTTCAAACTACAAGAAAGGAGATTCCATCTGAACATGAGGAAGAACTTCCTGACTGTCAGAACTGTTCAGCAGTGGAACTCTCTGCCCCAGAGTATGGTGGAGGCTCCTTCTTTGGAGGCTTTTAAACAGAGGCTGGATGGCCATCTGTTGGGGGTGCTTTGAATGCCATTTTCCTGCTTCTTGGCAGGGGGTTGGACTGGATGGCCCATGAGGTCTCTTCCAACTCTATGATTCTAAGTCAGATTGCTTATTTAATGGTCTTTTAAAATGTACAAAAATGAGAGTGTATTAAGGAGCATTTTGCAAGAATTTGACATCCTTTGAAATGCTGAAGGGCAAAATACAGCATGTCTTTTTGAACTGCCATCCCCAGCACTCCTCAAGATTGGCTATGCTAAGAACCTATTGGTGAGAAGCTGTGTAGAGATGGGGATGGTATAGCAAAGGTCTTCTCTGCCAAAACAGGAAACTGCCCCGCTGGCACCTGTGCAGCTTGGAAGCCAACAGGGCATGTTCCTCTGTGAACAGATCATCAATTGAACATTGTTCCAGAAGCTTTATGCTGTGTCCAAAAAGGCAAACAATACCCCTTCCCTAGAACCATAGTGTCCTAAAAAAAGTAGAGGAGGAATACTCCTACTGTATTCTGTACAAGTCAGGCCTCATCTGACTTAGATGACTTAGATGAAGGGTTAGAAGGCATGATCATCAAGTTTGCAGATGACACCAAATTGGGAGGGATAGCTAATACTCCAGAAGACAGGAGCAGAATTCAAAATGATCTCAACAGATTAGAGAGATGGGCCAAAACTAACAAAATGAAGTTCAATAGTGACAAATGCAAGATACTCCACTTAGGCAGAACAAATGAAATGCAAAGATACAGAATGGGGGACGCCTGGCTCGAGAGCAGTACATGTGAAAAAGATCTTGGAGTGCTCATGGACAGCAAGTTAAACATGAGTCAACAATGTCATGCGGCAGCAAAAAAAAAAAAAGCCAATGGGATTTTGGCCTACATAAATAGGAGTAAATTTTCTAGATCTAGGGAGGTAATGCTACCCCTCTATTCTGCCTTGGTTAGACCACACCTGGGATTCTGTGTCCAGTTCTGGGCACCACAACTGAAGGAAGA